TTTGTTGTTGTTGTTGTTGTTTTGAGACGGAGTTTCGCTCTTGTTACCCAGGTTGGAGTGCAATGGCGCGATCTCGGCTCACCGCAACCTCCGCCTCCTGGGTTCGGGCAATTCTCCCGCCTCAGCCTCCTGAGTATCTGGGATTACAGGCACGCGCCACCATGCCCAGCTAATTTTTTGTATTTTTAGTAGAGACGGGGTTTCACTATGTTGACCGGGATGGTCTCGATCTCTCGACCTCGTGATCCACCCGCCTCGGCCTCCCAAAGTGCTGGGATTACAGGCTTGAGCCACCGCGCCCGGCCATGGCCTATGTTTTTTAATGGTAGTTTAATTTTTTTTTTTTTTTTTTTTTTTTTTTTGAGACGGAGTTTCGCGCTTGTTACCCAGGCTGGAGTGCAATGGCGCGATCTCGGCTCACCGCAACCTCCGCCTCCTGGGTTCAGGCAATTCTCCTGCCTCAGCCTCCTGAGTAGCTGGGATTACAGGCACGTGCCACCATGCCCAGCTAATTTTTTGTATTTTTAGTAGAGATGGGGTTTCACCATGTTGACCAGAATGGTCTCGATCTCTCGACCTCGTGATCCACCCGCCTCGGCCTCCCAAAGTGCTGGGATTACAGGCTTGAGCCACCGCGCCCGGCCGATAGTTTAATTTTTTTTAATGGTAAAGTTATACATCCTCATTGTAAAAAAAAAAACCCTGCAGACTATATAGAAATGTATAAACTTCATTCTGCAGAACTAACCACATTTAGAGTGTGGTTGTATATCCTTTCCTAGTTAACAAATATATACATACATATATAATTTCATTTTTATTTTTTATTGAAATGCAATTCATATACCATAAAACTCACCATTCGGAAGTATACAATTCACCAGGCATGGTGGCTGACACCTGTAATCTCAGCACTTTGGGAGGCTAAGGAGAGAGGATCGATTGAGCCCAGGAGTTTGAGACCAGCCTAGCCAACACAGCGAAACCCTGTCTCTACAAAAAATACAAAAATTAGCCAGCTGTGGTGGCACACACTTGTAGTTCCAGCTATTTGGGAGGCTGAGGTGGGAGGATTGCTTGAGCCAGGGAAGTCAAGGCTACAGTGAGCCATGATCGCACCACTGCACTCCAGCCTGGGTGACCCTGTCTCAAAAACTAAAAAATGAGACCCTGTCTCAAAAAAAAAAAAAAAAAAAAAAAAGTGTAGAATTCAGTGGTTTTAAAACACATTCACGAAATTGTGCAATCATTACCATGGTCTATTTCCAGAACATTTCATCACCTGAAACGAAACCCCATGCCCATTAGTAGTGGATCCCTAGTCTCCATTTCTCCCATCTCCCGCAAGCATCAATCTGCTTTCTGTCTCTCTAGATTTGCCTGTTCTGGATATTTCACTTAAGGGAGTCAGACCACATGAGACGTTTTTTGCTGGCTTTTTTTCACTAAGTGTATTTTCAAGGCTTACTCATATTGCAGCATGTACCAGTACTAGATTTTTTTTTTCTTTTTTTTTTTTTTAGATGGAGACTCACTTTGTCACCCAGGCTGGAGTGCAGTGGCGTGATCTCTGCTCACTGCAAACTCCGCCTCCAACCACCACCTCCCAGGTTCAAGTGATTCTCCTGCCTCAGCCTCCTGAGTAGCTAGAATTACAGGCGCGCACCACCACCCTCAGCTAATTTTTGTATTTTTAGTAGAGAGGGGGTTTTACCATGTCGGTCAAGCTGGTCTTGAACTCCTGACCTCAGCTGATTTGCCTGCCTTGGCCTCCCAAAGTGCTGGGACTACAGGTGTGAACCACCGCAGCTGGTCTGATTCTTTTTTACAGGCGAATAATGTTACATTGTATGGCTATACCCTATTTTGTTTATCCGTTTGTCAGTTGATGAACGTGTGGATTGCTTCCAGTTTGGGGCTAGTATGAATCATTATTCATACTGCTATGGTAATTCATGTATAAGTTTTTGTATGAACATACGATTTCAGTTCTTTTGGGTATATACCTAGAATAACTTCTGGGTCATATGGTAACTCTACGTTCAACTTTTTTTTTTTTCCCTGAGACAGAGTCTCACTCTGTCACCCAGGCTGGAGTACAGTGGTGTGATCTCAGCTCACTGCAACCTCTGCCTCCCAGATTCAAGCGATTCTCCCACCTCAGCCTCTTGAGTAGCTGGGATTACAGGCACACACCACCACACCCTGCTAATTTTTGTACTTCTAGTAGAGACGGTGCTTTGCTATACTGGCCAGGCTGATCTCGAACTCCTGATCTCAGGTGACCTCAGGTCTCAAACTCCTGACCTCAGGTGACCTCAGCCTCCCAAAAGTGCTGGAATTACAAGCATGAGCCACCACGCCCAGCCTATGTGTAACTTTTTTAAAGAACTGTCGGGCTGAGTATGGTGGCTCATGCCTGCAATCCCAACACTTTGGGAGGCTGAGGTAGGCACATCAGTTGAGCTCAGGAATTCAAGACCAGCCTGGGCAAGGTAGTGAGACCCCCATCTCTACAAAAAATACAAAATTAGTCAGTCATGGTGCCCTGCACCTGTAGTCCCAGCTACTCAGGAGGCTGAGGTGGGGGAACAACTCGAGCCCATGAAGTTGAGGCTGCAGTGAGCCGAGATCACACCACTGCACTCCAGCCTGGACCAGAGTGAGACCCTGTCTCAAAAAAATTAAAAATAAAAAAGAACTGTCAAAGTGTCTGGCCCAGCAGCCACACCATTTTATATTTCTGCCAGCAATGTGTACCAGGGTTCCAATTTCTTCACATCTTCACCAAAGCTTATTTCCTTTGTTTTAAACTCTAGCCATCCTAGTAGGTGTAAAGAGTAGATCTCATTGTGGTTTTGATTTGCATTTCTCTAATGACTAATAACGTTAAGTATCATTTCATGTGCATGTTGGCCATTTACATATCATCTTTGGAGAAATGTCTACTCAGCCCCTTTGCTCATTTAGAAACTTAGGTAGGTTGGTTTGAGTGCAGTGGTGTTTAAAACTAATTTTTTTTTCTTTGAGATGGAGTCTTGCTCTGTCGCCCAGGCCGGAGTGCAATGGCAAGATCTTGGATCACTGCAATCTCTGTCTCCTGGGTTCATGCGATTCTCCTGCCTCAGCCTCCCGAGCAGCTGGGATTACAGGCATGCACCTGAACCCATGAGGCAGAGGTTGCAGTGAGCCGAGATCGCCCCATTGCACTCCAGCCTGGGTGACAAGAGCGAAACTCTGCCTCAAAAAAATTTTTTTTTGTGTGAATATATTCTGGTGTCCAGGCACAGCGGCTCAAGCCTGTAATCCCAGCACTTTGGGAGGCCGAAGTGGGCAGATCACAGGTCAGGAGATCAAGACCAGCCTCGTCAACATGGTGAAACCCCGTATCTACTAAACATACAAAAATTAGCCAGGCATGGTGGTGCACACCTGTAATTCTAGCTACACAGGAGGATGAGGCAGAAGAATCGCTTGAACCCGGAAGGCAGAGTTTGCAGTTAGCCAAGATATGCGCACCACTGCACTCCAGCTTGGCAATAGACTGAGACTCTGTCTAAAAATATATATGTATATATGTGTGTGTGTGTGTGTGTGTGTGTGTGTATTGTGGAGACAAATCCCTTATTAGAGATATGATTTGCAAATATTTTCTCCAATTATTAAAAAAATTTTTTTTTTTTTTTTTTTTTTTTTAATAGAGATGGGGTTTCACCATGTTGGCCAGGCTGGTCTGGAACTCCTGACCTCGGGTGATCCACCCACCTTGGCCTCCCAAAGTGCTGGGATTACAGGCGTGAGCCACCACACCCGGCCTCCAATTTTTTTTTTTTTTTTTTTTTTGAGACGGAGTTTCGCTCTTGTTACCCAGGCTGGAGTGCAATGGCGCGATCTCGGCTCACTGCAACCTCCGCCTCCTGGGTTCAGGCAATTCTCCTGTCTCAGCCTCCTGAGTAGCTGGGATTACAGGCACACGCCACCATGCCCAGCTAATTTTTTGTATTTTTAGTAGAGACGGGGTTTCACCATGTTGACCAGGATGGTCTTGATCTCTCGACCTCGTGATCCACCCGCCTCGGCCTCCCAAAGTGCTGGGATTACGGCTTGAGCCACCGCGCCCCGCCCCAATTTTTTTTAAAGAATTTAAAAAAAAAATTTTTTTTTTTTTTTTAGACGGAGTTTCACTCTTGTTACCCAGGCTGGAGTGCAATGGCGCAATCTCGGCTCACCGCAACCTCCGCCTCCTGGGTTCAGGCAATTCTCCTGCCTCAGCCTCCTGAGCAGCTGGGATTACAGGCACGCACCACCATGCCCAGCTAATTTTTGCATTTTTTTTTTTTTTTTTTTAGTAGAGACGGAGTTTCACCATGTTGACCAGGATGGTCTCGATCTCTTGACCTCGTGATTCACCCGCCTCGGCCTACCAAAGTGCTGGGATTACAGGCGTGAGCCACCGCGCCCGGACAGATTTTTTTTTTTAAAAGACAAAGTTTTGCTTTGTTGCCAAGGCTGGTCTTGATTCCTGGCTTTAAGGGATCCTCTCACCTACAACTCAAGTCTCAAAGTGCTGGGTTTACGGCCATTGAGCCACTGCACCTGGCCTCCAATTTTTTAGGTATTATCTTTTAGAAGCAAAACGAGTTACTAAATACACCATTCTGTAACCTGCTCTTTTCTTTAATAGTAGTTCATGTGCATCTTTCTAGGTCAAGAGAAAGCTATGTCACTTTCCCCCCCCATTTTACTGTTCCTTCCCTCATTCTTTTTCACTGCTGCATAGCATTCCATGGTAATTTTGCCACCGTTTATTGGCATGGTCCTCTGCTGAGCTTTACAGAGTCCCTAGTTGGGGTGTTAGTGACAGACCGTGACAGCAGTGAAGACAGTCATCTCCCCATGCTGTCAGCTTTCAGATGATGTGAAAATGCAAGCAGCCACAGGAAATGTCTCTAACCTGCTTACACTTCCTCCCTGAAGCCCTGCGGTTTCACAACCCCTACAGGCGCGCCTCCCTCCCCGCCCAAGAGTGTCACCAGCCTGGTGCTTCTGTGAGAAAGTACCACTGTAAGAGGCCAAAGGGCATGATCATTTTCCTATTTTACCCTGTCTAGGTCGCCAGCAAATCCCAAGGGTCTCCTGAGGCTGCCCCTGGAGCCACAGGTCCCTCCAGTGCTGGAAGAATGAAGGATTTCGGCATCATCGTGATGGCCATGGCGCTGCTGTCTGGGTTCTTTTTCTTTGGTAGGCAAGGGAGGAGGCAGGGGATGGGACATGTGTCTGTGACCAGAGAAACTGCAGGGCTTGGTGGAGCTGGGCTTAACAAGGAGCTGCCCCCTAAAAGTGGGCTTGGTCTTAGGGGTATGGGGCCCTGGGATCTTGGAAGGAGAAACTGGGGAGTGGGGAAGTAAAAGAAACAACTAGGCAAGGGGTGGAGGTAAAGACAGAGAAGGGAGCATAAGAAGGAGCAGTGGAGTCTTTAAAAAGTCAGATGGGGCTGGGGCTGGTGGCTCACGCCAGTAATCCCAGCACTTTAGGAGGCCGAGGCGGGTGGATCACCTGAGGTCAGGAATTTGAGACCAGCCTGGCCAACATGGCAAAACTTCGTCTCTACTAAAAATACAATAAAATTAGATGAGTGTAGTGGCACATGCCTATAATCCCTGCGACTCAGGGGGCTGAGGCATGAGAATCATTTGAACCCAGAAGGTGGAGGTTTCAGTGAGCCAAGATCGTGCCAATGCACTCCAGCCTGAGGGACAGAGTGAGACCTTGTCTCTTAAACAACAAACAAACAAAAGGCAGATAGTTAATGAGTAGGTAGAGCTGAGTGGGGAGTGCTGGGCTCTGGGCCATCGGGGGGGGGGGGGGGTGCCGCCGGTGGTACCACCCCTGTGCGTTTTAGGCAAGTCCTTTCCCCCTTTCCAGAGCTTCAGCTAAACAAATGAAGGCCCGACCTCCCTGACGTCCTAGGATGCTCTGAACTAAACTCCATGCCGGGAGAGAAAATAAGGCAGAAAGGACAGCCTGGGTGCCTAGGCAGGCCGCATGAAGGGGAAGGGGGCTGGGAAATCTACCGGTGCTTGAAAGACTGGCCTTTCGAGCAGGGAGTGGGGAGGCAGCCCCCCATGGATCAAGGGAGCTAGAATCTGAGAATATGGGAAGGGGCGCCTGGGCCCCATGACCGCAGAGTGGGTGGTGGAAGCGCACCCGGCCCTGGGGCATCCCCATGTTGGCCTCTTCCTGGGAACTTGGCCACCCTCTGTCTCAGGGCCCCTCGGATCTGCTCCTCTTTCTGGGGCCTCTGACTTCTCATCTTTCCTTCTTTGCAGAGAGGCCAAACGGGAAATTGTGTCCTCAGGCCCTGGGAAGAGCTTTCAGAGCTCTGGGGGGCTGGGAGTCGCTCCTTCCATATTCCCTGAAGTCAACACCCTGGAGGGGAAGCGCAGAGCGCGGGTCTGCTCCGCCCACCCGGTGCGGGCGGTCTGGGGAGTGAGAGCCAGGTGGGCGTGGGGCTGGCCACCTGCTGGGCACGTGCAGGGGCGGGGATCATTGGGTAGCATATGACCCCTCTTGCCTTCCTCAGCACCGACCTCGAGCTACAACCTGGACGTGCGGGGCGCGCAGAGCTTCTCCCCACCTCGAGCCGGGAGGCATTTTGGATACCGCGTCTTGCAGGTCGGAAACGGGTGAGCTGTGATCCCCAAGTCCTCCCTGCGATGCCCGCCCTGGGGCAGACCCCGAGGCGGTGGCCGCCTCCCCGACCATCCCCTGGGTCAGTCGGTGGCACGGGGCAGCTCTCCAGGGGTTCCTGTCTGGAAGAGCCTGTCGTGGGAATCCTCGGAGACAGGAATGAGGGATCAAAAAGACGGTTAGGGGCGAGCAGGGGTCCATGGAAGTGTCGAACAGGGAAAGATCCCAGCCCCAAACAGTTTGCATCGCCCAGTAGGTTCCTGCCGGCCCCTTGGTCCCTTACTGCTGCCAGTGCCTGGAAGCCAAGGGTTTGTTCACCCTTCCTAACCCTTCTCAAATACCCCACCGTCCAGCACGCAGTAGGTAAGCCATGAATGGCTTTTGAATTAAGGACTGAATGAAAGAACCTGTCATGAGACATTCTGGCGGATCAGTCTCTGGGCCTCCGAGACTAAATGCAAAGGAACCTTAACTTTTTAGGGTTCTGGTATTTGGAATTATTTCTCTGGGATTCTGTAGGAAAGAGGTGAGGACGGAGGCACCTTCTTTTTCTTTTCTTTTCTTCTTTTTTTTTTTTTTTTTTGAGACAGATTTTGCTCTTGTCGCCCAGGCTGACGTGCAGCGGCTCCATCTTGGCTCACTGCAGTCTCCACCTATGGAGTTCAAGCTATTCTCCTGCCTCAGACTCCTGTGTAGCTGGGGTTACAGGTGCCCACCACCACACCTGGCTAATTTTTGCATTATTAATAGAGATGGGGTTTCACCGTGTTGGCCAGGCTGGTCTCGAACTCCAGACCTCAGTTGATCCACCCACCCCGGGCCTCCCAAAGTTCTGGGATTACAGGCATGAGCCATTGCTGCCAGACCAGAGGCACCTTCTTTTTTTTTTTTTTCTTTTTCCGAGATGGAGTTGCGCTCTTGTTGCCCAGGCTGGAGTGCAATGGCTTGATCTCGGCTCACTGCAACCTCCGCCTCCTGGGTTCAAGTGATTCTCCTGCCTCAGCCTCCTGAGTAGCTGGGATTACAGGCATGCACCACCACTCCCTGGCTAATTTTGTGTTTTTAATAGAGACAGAGTTTCTCCATGTTGGTGAGGCTGGTCTCAAACTCCCGACCTCAGGTGATCCGCCCGTCTCAGCCTCCCAAAGTGCTGGGATTACAGGCGTGAGTCACTGCACCTGGCTCAGAGACACCTTCTTGAAGGGGAATGGCTGCAGTGCTTGGAAAAAATGCAGCGGGAGATCTGAACCTCCTTAGCGGGCAGGAGTGGGTGGGTACAGATCTAGGCCACTCCCTCTTACAGGTGAGATTTCTCACCAGGGTCTTCGTGGGAGCTCCAGGAGAGGGGAACAGCACAGGAAGCCTCTATCAGTGCCAGCCAGACACAGGACACTGCCTGCCAGTCAGCCTGAGAGGTGAGTAACTGGCGGGTGAGCTGGGAGGAATGGGATCCTGGGGACACTGAGGCTGGCCCCAGCCCACCTAGATTGCTTGAGCTCCTCCAGAGCAACCTTCTGGTGCCTACAGGTTCCAACTATACCTCCAAGTACTTGGGAATGACCTTGGCAACAGACCCCACAGGTGGAAGCATTTTGGTAAGAATTTTGCACAGTGGCGTTATCAGAGCCCGTGAAGCTCATTCAGGGAATGAGAAATGAAAAGAAGAAGAATGTGGATAAAGGTTTCCACAGAAGGTCAAAGTCAATTAGCGTTTATTGAGAACCAATAAGTCAATTATTGGTCCTCATTTATCAGAGTCAATTAGTGTTTATTGAGAACCAATGATAAGCCAGCTTTTTTTTTTTTTTTTTTTGAGACAAGGTCTGATTCCATTGCTCAGGCTGGAGCGTAGTGGTGTGATCACAGCTCATTGCAGCCTCAACCTCCCTGGGCTCAGGTAATCCTCCCACCGCAGCCTACCAATTATCCGGGACTACAGGCACATGCTACCACGCCCAGCTAATTTTCGTATTTTTTGTAGAGATAGAGTGTTACCACATTGCCCCAGACTGGTCTTGAACTCCTGAACTCAGGAAATCCTCCTGCCTCAGCCTCCCAAAGTGCTGGGATTACAGGTGTGAGCCACCACACCCAGTAGTCAGCTATTTTCAAGAATTTATGTCACTTTTCTTCCAAACATGAAATATCTACAATCATTGATATGCAATATGATTTTTAATGGTATACAAGCTTTTAATGTTTTCATAGTTATATATTTCTTTATATGGCTTTAATGGCTTGTTAAAAAAATATATAAAGCACATCAAATTTATAATATCCTAGATCATATTGAGTAAGAAGAGGCTGAAGTTAAAAATTTAAAGAAGAATATTAAGAAAATAATATGCTTATGTGGCAGATATTGTGAAGCATTACGCAAATGCCTAAACTTTAGGAAACACTCCTTTCTTTAGCGGGGGTACAGAATTTCACTCTTGTCACCTAGGCTGGAGTGCAATGGCATAATCTCAGCTCACTGCAACCCTGCCGTGTGGGGTTCAAGCGATTCTCCTGCCTCAGCCTCCAGAGTAGCTGAGATTACAGGCACGTGCCACCAAGCCTGGCCAATTTTTCTATTTTTAGTGGAGATGGGTTTTTGCTGTGTTGGTCAGGCTGGTTTCGAACTACTGACCTCAAGTGATCCACCTGCCTCGGGCTCCCAAAGTGCTGGGATTATAGGTGTGAGCCACTGTACTCACACTTTATCTTTTTTTTCTTTCTTTCTTTCTTTCTTTCTTTTTTTTTTTGAGATGGAGTCTCACTCTTGTTGCCCAGGCTGGAGTGCAATGGCTCCATCTCAGCTCACCACAAGCTCCACCTCCTGGGTTTAAGCAATTCTCCTGCCTCAGCCTCCCAAGTAGCTGGGACTACAGGCATGCGCCACCATTAACCCTCACGACACTCAGGTGAGACAGGGATCAGGGTACACGATTTGCAAACAAGGAAACAGGACCAAAGGGGTTAAGAGACTTGAGTCGGGATTTGAATAAAATTCTTGTTTGATTCCAAGTTCATGGCTCTTTCCCATTTATCCCAGCTAGCATCCTTCTGTGTGAGAGGTGGAAGACTGAATGAAATACTAATCCAGTATTTAAGTACAGCCTATTTATTTAGCTACTTTTTTTTTTTTTTTTTTTTTTTTTGAGACAGAGTTTCGCTCTTGTTACCCAGGCTGGAGTGCAATGGCGCGATCTCGGCTCACCGCAACCTCCACCTCCTGGGTTCAGGCAATTCTCCTGCCTCAGCCTCCTGAGCAGCTGGGATTACAGGCACGCACCACCATGCCCAGCTAATTTTTTGTATTTTTAGTAGAGACGGGGTTTCACCATGTTGACCAGGATGGTCTCGATTTCTTGACCTCGTGATCCACCCGCCTCGGCCTCCCAAAGTGCTGGGATTACAGGCTTGAGCCACCGCGCCCGGCTATTTAGCTACTATTATATGCCAGGCGTTGGGTGAGGTTCTGATGGAGGAAGGGGAGTGAGATACAAAGTTGATGAGGCTGGGCCAGTGGCTCACACCTGTAATTCCAGCACTTTAGAAAGCCAAAGCTGGAGGACTGCTTGAGGCCAGGGGTTCAAGACCAGCCTGGGCAACCCTGTCCCTACCAAAAGAAAATATTTTTTAATTAGCTGGGCATGGTGGCACACAAGTGTGGTCCCAGCTACTTGGGAGGATCAGTTGAGGGCAGGAGTTCAAGGCTGCAGTGAGCTATGATCACACCACCACACTCCAAGCCAGGGAGACAGAGCAAGGACTGTGTCTAAAAAAAAACAAACAAAAACAAAAACAAAAAAATGATCATGATACAAGCCCAGACTTTGAAGAAATTGCAGTCTGGCAGGAAAGAGTGGTAAATGAAGGAAATGACTTCGGGAGGCTGAGACGAGTGGATCACTTGAGCCCAGGCGCTTAAGAGTGGCCTGGGCAATATGGCAAAACCCCATCTCTATGAAAAAACATTAGCCAGACATGGTGGCATGTGTCTGTAGTCCCAGCTATTTGGGGGGCTGAGGTGAGAGAATCACCTGAGCCCAGGAAGTTGAGGCTGCAGTGAGCCCTGATTGTGCCACTGCATTCCAGCCTGGGTTATGGGAGTGAAACCAAGAGAGAGAAGAGGGAAGGAAGGAGGGAGGGAGGGAGGGAAGTAGGGAAGGAAGGAGGGAAGGAAGGAGGGAAGGAAGGAAGGAGGGAAGAAGGGAGGGAAAGGGAGTGACAGGAAGGAAGGAAGGAAAGAAAAAGAAAGAAGAGAGAGAAAGAGGAGGGAAAGAAGGAAGGAAAGAATGACTGAAGGAAGGGGAGAGGAGAAGAGAGGAAGAAAGAAAAAGGAAGGAAGAAGAAAAAAGAGAAAAATGAAAGAAAGGAAGGAAGGACAGATGGATGAATGGATCGAGTGGGCGTGATGGCTCATGCCTGTAATCCCAGCACTTTGGGAGGCAAAGGCTGGTGGATCACGAGGTCAGGAGTTCGAGATCAGCCTGGCTAATATAGTGACAGCCCATCTGTACTAAAAATACAAAAATTAGCTGGGCATGGTGTCAGGCACCTGTAGTCCCAGCTACTCACGAGGCTGAGGCAAGAGAATCACTTGATTGAACCTGGGAAGTGGAGGTTACAGTGAGCCAAGATCACACCAAGATGCACTCTGGCCTGGGCAACAGAGCAAGACTCTCTCTCTCAAAAAAAAAAAAAAAAAAAAAAAGGAAATGGAAAAGGAAAGAAGGAAGGAAGGGGAAGGGAGAAAGAAAAGAAAAAAGAAAGAAAACAAAAACAGAACAAAGAAAGAGAGAAAGGAAAGAAAGAAAGACACTGTGTATTCTGGGAATCTTGATAATTTGATTTGGCTGAAACACAGACAGGGAGGTTGGGCCTAGGAGAAGATGGGCCTGTAAACGTGGGGTTGCGTGCAATGTAAGCCCAGCTAAGGAGGCTAGAGTTTATCTTCCAGGCAGTGAGCATGGCAGGATTGGCAGGATGGGAGGGACGGGCACCAGTGACTGTGGACATGGGCATTCTTTCCCTTGCTAGCCATTGGATAGAGGGAGTGAGGGAGGGACGAGGACTCTGAACGTTCTTATTCTTGGTTGACGGTGCCCAAAAGACACATAACCAGTGGGAGACCCAAATCTGTGGCCTTTGCTTCCTTTAGGCCTGTGACCCTGGGCTGTCTCGAATGTGTGACCAGAACACCTATCTGAGTGGCCTGTGTTACCTCTTCCACCAGAATCTGCAGGGCCCCGTGTTGCAGGGGCGCCCTGGTTTTCAGGGTAAGGAACTGGGGACTCAGTGGGTAAAATTACCTCCAGGTGGCTGCTCCTAGAGAGAACCGGCATGGACGGGTCAAACACCAGAGGCGCTTCACTGGGTCTCTTGCGTCTGACCTCTGCAGAATGTATCAAGGGCAACGTTGACCTCGTATTTCTGTTTGATGGTTCGGGGAGCTTGCAGCCGGATGAATTTGAGAAAATTCTGGAATTCATGAAGGATGTGATGAAGAAACTCAGCAACACTTCCTACCAGGTAAAAATGTTAGGATTCTTGGTTGCAGGCAACAGATGCCTACCTGAACTGGCTTACACCATGAAAGGAAATTTTAGTGTGTGGCATCCTCAGAACCTATGGGCACGGCTGCAACTGGGCCTGTAGAAGGAACAAGAACCAGGGAGAAAGCCGGGCGCGGTGGCTCAAGCCTGTAATCCCAGCACTTTGGGAGGCTGAGGTGGGTGGATCACGAGGTCAAGAGATCGAGACCATCCTGGTCAACATGGTGAAACCCCGTCTCTACTAAAAATACAAAAAATTAGCTGGGCATGGTGGCGCGTGCCTGTCATCCCAGCTACTCAGGAGGCTGAGGCAGGAGAATTGCCTGAACCCGGGAGGTGGAGGTTGCGGTGAGCCGAGATCGTGCCATTGCACTCCAGCCTGGGTAACGAGAGCGAAACTCCGTCTCAAAAAAAAAGAAAAAGAACCAGGGAGTAGAAAGTTCTAGGAGGCTCTCTAGTTCTTATTTCCTTTTTTATATAGACAGAGTTTCACTCTTGTTGCCCAGGCTGGAGTGAAATGGCGCGATCTTGACTCACTGAAACCTCCGCCTCCCGGGTTCAAGCGATTATCCCTGCCTCAGCCTCCTGAGTAGCTGGGATTACAGGCACCTGCCACCACACCCAGCTGATTTGTGTGTTTTTAGTAGAGATGGGGTTTCACCGTGTTGGCCAGACTGGTCTCGCTCGAACTCCTGACTTCAGGTGATCCGCCCGCCTTGGCCTCCCTCAAGTGTTGGGATTACAGATGTGAGCCAATGCGCCTGGCCATTTTTTCTTTTTGAGATAAGGTCTTACTGTGTCCCCAAGGCTGGAATACAGTGGCACAATCACAGCTCACTGTAGCCTCAAACCTCAAACTCCTGGGCTCAAATGATCCTCAAATGAGGATCAAATGTGCCCGGTTAATTTTTAAATTTTCTGTAGAGATGGTGTATCACTGTGTTGCCCAGACTGGTCTCAAACTCCTGGATTTCTCAAAAGATCCTCCTGCCTTGGCCTCCCAAAGTGCTGGGATTACAGGCATGAGCCACTGTGCCCGGCTAGTTCTCATTTCTATTTCTTTTTGCATCTTAGCTTCCTTCTTCTCTTTTCCCAGTCTCTGTAGACTGGCTCCCTTAGCGCTTTTAGACCACGTGGACCCATGGAAAGCTCCTAAGTTCATGTGTTGAAATTCCAAGAGGGCTTTTTACCTTCCCCTCAACCAACTCCTCCCTTTGGAAATTCCCAGTTGTCAGAGAAGAGATTCTGGCTGCCTAGCTTCAGTCAGGTGTCCACCCCGGCCCAGCCAGCTGTGTCTAGTTAAGCCGGGTCACTTAGCAGAAATATGGCTACCAAATCCCATCCCTGTCAATGACGTAGGTGGACCCAGAAAACAGGAGCTAGGTACACAGTATTACGTGAGGGAGCAGACGTTTATTTCATTTTATTTCTGTGCTTATTCTTATATTACCTCATTTTCAAAAGAATGATCTGAGGGACTGATGTGGAGTCGGGTTGCGCAGGTCCTGCCTAAGATTGAGCCAGGCACAGTGGCTCACTCCTATAATCCCAGCACTTTGGGAGGCTGAGCCAGGAGGATCACTTGAAGCCAGGAGTTTGAGACCAGCCTGGGCACCATAGCAAGACCCTGTCTCTACAAAAAATAAGAACTAGCCAAGTGTGCTGGCAGTTGGCTGGGCCAGGGTGAACACCTGACTGAAGCTAGGCCAGCCAGAATCTCTTCTCTGAGAACTGGGAATTTCCGAAGGGAGGAGATGGTTGAGGGAAAGGTAGAAAGCCCTCTTGGAATTTTAACACGTGAACTTAGGAGCTTTCCATGGGTCCATGTGGTCTAAAAATACAAAAGTCATCTGGGTGTGGTGCCTGTAGTCCCAGCTACTTCAGAGGCCGAGGTGGGAGGTTATGGCTTGAGCCTAGGGAGCTGAGGCTGCCGTGAGCTATGATTTCTCCCCGTGCTCCAGCCTGGGAGGCAGAAGAAGACCCAGTAGGGACTTGAAAAAGAAGTAGAGTTTGGGGCTGGGCGTGGTGGCTCACACCAGTAATCCCAGCACTTTGGGAGGCCAAGGCAGGTGGATCACCTGAGGTCAAGAGTTCGAGACCAGCCTAGCCAACACGGTGAAACCCCGTCTCTCCTAAAAATACAAAAAAATTAGCCAGGCATGGTGGCATGTGCCCATAATCCCAGCTACTTGGGAGGCTGAAGCATGAGAATCGCTGGAACCCAGGAGGTGGAGGTTGCAGTGAGCTGAGATCACGCCACTGTACTCCAGCCTGAGCAACAAGAGCAAAACTCCATCTCAAAAAAAAAGTGAGTTTGGAACAGACAAATGGAAAGAGATATGTAACTACATATCATTTCTTCCTTCCTTTTCTAGTTTGCTGCTGTTCAGTTTTCCACAGAATACAAAACGGAATTTAATTTCTTAGATTACGTTAAACAGAAGGACCCTGACGTTCTGCTGAGGCCCGTAGAGCACATGTTGCAGTTGACCAACACCTTCGGTGCCATCAACTATGTCGCGTGAGTTCTCTTTTGCAGGAGAGCGCATTCTGGGTGACCTATCTCCTTCTAGCTGCAGGGCATGGGAACTCAGTAGGTAGGTACAGCAAGGGGCAGTTGATTGTCTGAATTAAAGTGGAACAATTTTACTGCAGGTTCTTTCGGTTGTACATGACAGAAATCCACTTTGTACTAACTAAATCCAAAAGAGAAAGTCTAAGCCAGGTGCATGATCTGTAATCCCACTGCCTTGGGACGCTGAGGCCAGAGGATCTCTTGGGCCCAGGAGTTTTTGTTTGTTTATTTGGGTTTGTTGTTGTTGTTGTTGTCGAGACAGAGTTTTGTTTTGCTCTTGTTGCCCAGGCTGGAGTGCAGTGGCCCCATCTCAGCTCACTGCAACCTCCGCTTCTCAGGTTCCAGCCATTCTCCTGCCTCAACCTCCCAAGTAGCTGCGATTACAGGCCTGTGCCACCATGCCTGGCTAATTTTTTTTTTTTTTGTATTTTTAGTAGAGATAGGGTTTTCCCATGTTGGCCAGGCTGGTCTCAAACCCTTGACCTGAATTGATCCACCTGCCTCAGCCTCCCAAAATTCTGGGATTATAGGTGTGAGTCACCACACCTGGCCTATGAGCCCAGGAGTTTGAAGCTGCAGTACGCTATGATCACACCATTGTACTACAGCCTGGGCAACAGACCAAGATCCTATCTCTAAAAAAAAAAAAATTTTTTTTTAATTTAAAAAGAAGAACCAGGACACCAATGTGGCTGGAGAGAAATAAGTGAGAGGGGAAAATAGTAGGTGATAAGGTCAGAGAGATCTTGAGGGTTGGATGGGTTAGTGACTTAGAGGCCATAGTGAGGGCTTTGGCCTTCCTCTAAGTAAGATGAGACGTCATTAGAGGTTTTGAGTAGAGGAGTGATGATCTGATTTACGTTTTTAAAAAGATCCCTCTGGCTGCAGGGTGGATATTAGAGTGTAGAGGGGGCAAGGGCGGGTGGAAGCGATGGGACCAGTTATGAGGCTACTGAAAAGTCCAGATGAGAGATAACGGTTGTTTAAACCAGGGTGGAAATCCACGAACAGGACCCGAGATAGGCCCATGTGTGTGTGGATGGAGATTGGAGAAGCATTTTGCATCCAAGAAGGAACCAGCAATCTTGATAGCAGGTGTTGGTGGGTGAGATGGTTCATAGTAAGAGCTATGCCCAACCCAGCTTGCTCAAAGGAAGGCTGTGGGCAAGGCAGGGATTTTCTTTTTCTTTTTTTTTAAACTCAAGACTGGAGTGCAGTGGCATGATCCTAGCTCACTGCAGTCTCAAACTCCTGGGCTCAAGCAATCCTCCTGCCTCAGCCTCCTGAGTAGTTGGCATATAATCACATATCACCACACCTGGCTAATTGTTTTCATCTTTGCAGAGTTGGGGTCTCGCTATGTTGCCCAGGCTTGTCTGGAACTCCCACAGCAGAAATTTTTAGCCTCAGCCCATCTGGTGTTCAGTTCTCCCTTCTTTATTATTATTTTATTAGTATTTTTATTTTTTGCATGGTGGGGATTTTTGGCAAGAAACAGAACGCCTGCTAGACAAATTCTAAAAGAGCTGTAACACTAGTTCTCCCTTCATCTCGCATGCCCAAGCACCCCCTCTGTACTGGGAGCCAGAGATACAGCAACAAACCCAACATGGTCCTTTCCTTGAGGAACTCATGATTTAGGGGGGAAATTGACAGAGAAAAAAGTCACGGTAGTTTACTAGGTTCGCTGCTATAGTAAAGATCCGTAGGCAGCCTGGGAACCATGGGAAGGCCGAGGAGGTGCAGGGAAAGCTTGCTCTGGAGGAGTGACTCTCCAGTTTTCTTCAGCTATGGGACTCTCTCTTCCCCATTGAAATCTCACCTGGATCAACATCTATAACTGATTGAAGAACGGTGGCCATGTGGTTGCAATGGAGGGTAGGAAGGACAGAGTCATTCCTCACAAAACCTCCTCCTCCTGACCAGGGGCTCTGGCTGGGACACCTTCTGGGCTGCCCAGGCTGCAGTGTGAGGATCACTGGTCCAGAGGGAGAGGGATGGCAGCAAGAAGGTTCAGAGGTGACCGCTGCAGGCTTGGAATCCTGGCCTGGGAGAGGCGGGAAGGCCTTTTTCGTAACCAGTACAGCGGTGACTCGATGAGCAGGTGGGGAAGGAGACCTCAGGCCCTGGTTTGAGGGAGTCTCTCACCTCCTCCTTTCCTGGACATAGGAAAGAGGTGTTCCAGGAGAAGCTGGGGGCTCGGCCAGATGCCACCAAAGTGCTCATCATCATCACAGACGGGGAAGCCACCGACAATGGCAACATCGATGCGGCCAAAGACATCATCCGCTACATCATTGGGGTATGGGCCCCGGGCCCCGGCTTCTTTGTGCGTCTCGCCTTCCCTCTCCTCTTCCCGAACCCCAGGTCCCTTTCTCCCTGGGGCCAGACTCTTGTAAGCATAATAGGAAACTGGACTGAGGTTTGGGGGAATGCCAGCTCCTCACTCTCTACTCCCTCACAGATTGGAAAGAATTTTCAGACCAAGGAGAGTCAGGAGACACTCCACAAATTTGCCTCAAAACCTGCGAGAGAGTTTGTGAAGATTCTGGACACATTTGAGAAGCTAAAAGATTTATTCACTGAGCTTCAGAAGAAGATCTATGTCATTGAGGGTGAGTGGCAGGCCCTGGGAGAGGGCTCGGGAGGTGCATACGGAAATTCCCCTGGGACATCAGGCTGGGGCTCGGTGGCTCACGGCTGTATTCCCAGCACCTTGGGAGGCCGAGGCAGGTGGATTGATTGAGCTCGGGAATTTGAAACCAGTGTGGTGGCTCATGCCTGTAATCTCAGCACTTTGGGAGGCCAAGGCGGGCGGATCACCTGAGTTCAGGAGTTCCAGACTAGCCCGGCCAACATGGTGAAACCCGGTTTAAAAAAAAAAAAAAAAAAGACCAGCCTGGGCAACAAGGTGAAATTGCATCTATACTAAAAATGCAAAAAATAGCCAGGCGTGGTGGTGTGTGCCTGTAATCCCAGCCTCTCAGGAGGCTGAGGCACAAGAATTGCTTGAATCCAGGAGGCAAAGGCCAAAGTAAGCCGAGATCACGCCACTGCACACCAGCCTGGTTGGCAGAGGAAGACTCCATTCCAAAAAAAAAAAAAAAAAAAAAAAAAAAAATGGCAGGCCGTGGTGGCTCATGCCTGTAATCCCAGCACTTTGAGAGGCTGAGGTAGGCAGATAACCTGACGTCAGGAGTTTCGAGACCAGCCTGGCCAACATGGTGAAACGGTCTCTACTGAAAATACAAAAATCAGCTGGGGGTGGTGGTGCGTGCCTGTAATCCCAGCTACTTGGAAAGCTGAGGCAGGAGAATCACTTGAACTCGGGAGGTGGAGATTGCAGTCAGCCGAAACATGCCATTGCACTCCAGCCTGGGTGACAAAGGGAGACTTTGTCTCAAAAAAAAAAAAAAAAGAAGAAAGAAAGAAAAGAAAAAAAACTCTTGTGGGACATCATATTAGAAACACAAAGAATAATAAGCACTTACTGAGTATCTGACCTTGTACTAAGGGCTTGCCTAAATAAAACAGACCTCTAGGAGGAATTTAGGAGCGGGTCATTTGGGAGCAGCCTCTGTGATCTTTCTTTCCCTCCCTCCCTTCCTTCCCCCACCTCCCTCCCCTCCTCCCTCCTCTTCCCCACCCTTTCCCCCTCTCCCCCACTCCTCTCCCTCCCGTTCCCTCCCCTCCTCTTCTCTTTCTTCTTTCTTTTTTTTTTTTTTTTTTTGAGACGGAGTTTCGCTCTTGTTACCCAGGCTGGAGTGCAATGGCGCGATCTCGGCTCACCGCAACCTCCGCCTCCTGGGCTCAGGCAATTCTCCTGCCTCAGCCTCCTGAGTAGCTGGGATGACAGGCACGTGCCACCACGCCCAGCTAATTTTTTGTATTTTTAGTAGAGACGGGGTTTCACCATGTTGACCAGGATGGTCTCGATCTTTCGACCTCGTGATCCACCCGCCTCGGCCTCCCAAAGTGCTGGGATTACAGGCTTGAGCCACCGCGCCTGGCCTCTTTCTTCTTTCTTTTCTTTTTTTCTTTTCTTTCACAGGGTCTCACTGTCATCTAGGCTTGGGTACGGTGGAATGATCACAGTTCACTGCAGCCTTGACCTTCCAGGCTCAGGTGATCCTCCCACCTCAGTCTCCCAAGTAGCTGGGACTACAGGTGTGTGATACCACACCTGGCTAATTTGTGTGTGTGTATTTTTTGTAGAGGCAGTAGTTTTGCTGTGTTGCGCAGGCTGATCTCAAATTCCTGGTCCCAACCAGTCTACCCACCTCGGCTTCCTGAAGTGCTAGAATTACTGACGTGAGCCACTGCGCCTGGCCCTCTGATATTTCTTTCTGAAATTTCCATCTTCTCTTGGAGCTCAGGTTGATCCAGGCCTGACTGTATCTTGCTGGTGTGATCCGAGCCCTGTGGAGTGAATGTAATTCCTCCCACTTCTTGCTCAGCTGTCGCACTGTCACTTATCTTAGGCTCCACATTACTTCGGAAGGGCAGACTGGCAGGGGCCAATGTGAAGAACTCACATGTCTTCTTTCCTGGCCTAGCATAAGAGAAGATTTTTTTTTTTTTTTTTTTTTTTTTTTTTTTTTTGAGACGGAGTTTCGCTCTTGTTACCCAGGCTGGAGTGCAATGGCGCGATCTCAGCTCACCGCAACCTCCGCCTCCTGGGTTCAGGCAATTCTCCTGCCTCAGCCTCCTGAGTAGCTGGGATTACAGGCACGTGCCACCATGCCCAGCTAATTTTTTTGTATTTTTAGTAGAGACGGGGTTTCACCATGTTGACCAGGATGGTCTCGATCTCTTGACCTCGTGATCCACCCGCCTCGGCCTCCCAAAGTGCTGTGATTACAGGCTTGAGCCACCATGCCTGGCCTTCGAGAAGATTTTTATTGTGGTCACTGGATGGAGGACTGGTTATGGAGGGCCTCTCCCCAGGAAACTTAGTTGACCAAAAGCTATGAGATTCCTACAGGAAAGTCTCCTTTGCTAGGACATGGCCTTAGTGTTCAATTCAGTTAAAGAAGCAATGGGCTGGGCATGGTGGCTCATGCCTGTCATCCCAGCACTTTGGAGGCCGAGGTGGGTGGATCACCTGAGGTCAGGAGTTCAAGAACAGCCTGGCTAACATGGTGAAACCCCATCTCTACTAAAAATACAAAAATTAGCTGAGTGTGGTGGCAGGTGCCTGTAATCCCAGCTACTTGGGAGGCTGTGGCAGGAGAATCACTTGAACCTGGGAGGTAGAGGTTGCAGTGAGCTGAGATTGTGCCACTGCACTCCATCCTGGGTGACAAGAGCAATATTCTGTTTCAAAAAAAAAAAAAAAAAAAGGCCGGGTGTGGGGACTGACACCTGTAATCCCAGCAATTTGGGAGGTTGAGGCAGGCAGATCACGAGGTCAGGAATTCGAGACCAGCCTGACCAATATAGTGAAACAGTGTCTCTACTAAAAATACAAAAAGTTAGCAAGGCATGGTGGCGCGTGCCTGTAATCCCAGCTACTCAGGAGGCTGAGGCAGGAGAATCGCTTGAACCCAGGAGGCAGAGGCTGCAGTGAGCCGAGATCGTGCTATTGCACTCCAGCCTGGGCAACAGAGCGAGACTCCATCTCAAAAAAAAAAAAAAGAAAGAAAGAAAAACAAGCAATTGTCCAGCTTGGGCAACACAGCAAGACCCCATGTCTAAATACAATACAAATGAAAAGCGAATTTTTTAACAAAACATTTTTAAGTGTTTCAATTTTAAATTAAAAAATGTTTTTTAAAAAAATTTACTCTCAACTGGCTTTTGAGCTGAGATATGAAAGATGAGATTCAAACAGCAATGTGAGGAAGCTGGAATGAGGGCAGAGAGCATTCCAGGCAGAGAGCAGCACAGGTGCCAGGGCCAGGGGCTGGGCATGCTGGGAAAATGGAAAAAGTTCAATGTGACCGGAGCACAGTGAGGGACGGAGAGAGGTTGGCAGGGAGGTAGGAGCCTTCCAGGACCTCAGAAGGAGTTTGGATTTCAGTGTGAAGATTGATGAGAAATCATGAAGGAGTTTTTTGTTGCTTTGGGACAAGGACTCGCTCTGTTGCCCAGACTGAAGTGCAGTGGGGCGATCGTGGCTCACTGCAGCCTCAATCTCCTGGGTTCAAGCAATCCTCCTACCTCCACCTCCTGGGTAGCTGGAACTACAGATACACACCAACACACCTGGCTAATTTTTAAATTTTTTGTAGAGACAGAGTTTCTACTATATTGCTCAGGCTGGTCTTAAACTCCTTAGCTCAAGCAATCCTTCTGCCTCAGCCTCACATAGTGCTGGGATTACAGGCATGAGCCACTGCGCCCAGCCCGTGAAGAGTTCTTTTTTTTTTTTTTTTTTTTTTTTGGCGGGGGGTCCAGGGACAGAATCTTGCTCTGTCAGCCAGGCCAGAGTGTACAATCTTGGCTGACTGCAATCTCCATTTCCTCGGCTCAAGCAATTCTCCTGCTTTAGCCTCTCAAGTAGCTGGGATTACAGGCATGTGCCACCACACCCGGCTAATTTTTGTATTTTTAGTAGAGATGGGGTTTTACCATGCTGACCAGGCTGTTCTTGAACTCCTGACCTCAGGTAATCTGCTTGCCTTGGCCTCCCAAAGTGCTGGAATTACAGGCGTGAGCCACCACTCCCGGCCAGTGAATAGTTCTTAAGAAAGGAGAAGCTATATGAGCCAGGCAGAGTGGCACATGCCAGTAGTCCCAGCTACTTGGGATGCTGAGATAGGAGAATCTCTTGAGCGTAGGAGTTTGAGGCTGCCCAGCCTGGGCAACTATGATCACACCACTGCACTCCAGCCTGGGTGACAGAACGAGACCCTGTCTCAAAAAAAAAGAGTATATTTCAAAGGCAGGACTACCATGATTTGGTGATGTGTTGGAGATGGGATGGGGGAAAGAGAAGACTCCAGGTGGATTTGGTTTCTTAGCATGGATTCATTAGGTGGATGTGGGTGCCATTCATTGACGTGAGAAGCCTGAGTCAGAGCAGGAACCAAGAGCTGCGTCTTGGACACACAGAGATAGGTAATCGGATATTCAAACCTGGAGGCTGGACGTGGTGGCTCACACCTGTCATCCCCCGCACATTAGAAGGCCGAGGCAGGTGGATCACCTGAGGTCAGGAGTTCGAGACCAGCCTGGGCAACATAGTGAAATCCCGTCTCTACCAAAAATACAAAAATTAGCTGGACATGGTGGTGCACACCTGTAATCCCAGCTACTTGGGAGGCTGAGGCAGGAGGATCAGTTGAACCGAAGAGGCAGAGGCTGCAGTGAGCTGAGATTGCACCACTGCACTCCAGCCTGGGTGACACAGCGAGATTCCATCTCAAAAAACAAAATTAGCCAGGTGTGATGGTGCATGCCTTGTAGTCCCAGCTATCCAGGAGGCTAAGCCAGGAGGACTTATTGAGCTTGGGAGGTTGAGGTTGCAGTGAGCTGTGATTGCTCCACTGCACTCCAACCTGGGCAACAGAGCAAGACCTTGTCTCAAAAACAAACAAACAAAAAAACAAACAAATCTTGGGCTCCCAGGGTATTACATGAGAAAGCCAACTCAGCATTAAGCCACTTACTGGGTCTGCCTGACTCTTGCATCCCTGCCTTCTACCTTGCCCAGAGGTCAATGCCTCACTTCTTCCTCCTCCTGCCGAGTTTGTTTCACTGAATTAACAGCGGTTGGGTCTCACCTGTTCTCTGCTTTGTCCCCCAGGCACAAGCAAACAGGACCTGACCTCCTTCGACATGGAGCTGTCCTCCAGTGGCATCAGTGCTGACCTCAGCAGGGTGCGTGCTGGGCAGGAGCAGTGGGCTGCGGGTGTCTCGGGAGTGCAGCTGGCTCTGGCGGGGTGTTGGTGGGTAGCTGACCCGCTCATCTCCTTCCCTGGGCAGGGCCATGCAGTCGTGGGGGCAGTAGGAGCCAAGGACTGGGCTGGGGGCTTCCTGGACCTAAAGGCAGACCTACAGGATCACACATTTATTGGAAATGAACCATTGACACCAGAAGTGAGGGCGGGCTATTTGGGTGAGTATTTCTCTTTTCTGCTGGGTTCTTCTGGTTGTAGGGGTCAGATGGTTACTCAGTCTGGCCTTCAGAAGAATAATGAAAGCAGTGAAACAACCAGCATGAACAAACTCAGAGTTTAAATATGGTTATAACATTCATAATTAATTGTCTGTATCTTCTGATGCTTTGACATCTTGGGACTGTGCTAATCCTGAAGAAACTACCCCTCCCAGGCTGGCAAATTCCTAGAGATAGTGAACAACTTGCCTGCGAATATGCCTTGTAGCTAGTCGTGGTGGCTCATGCCTGTAACCCCAGCACTTTGGGAAGCTGAGGCAGGTGGATTGCCTGAGGTCAGGAGTTCGAGACCAGCCTGGCCAACATGGTGAAATGCTGTCTCTACTAAAAATACAAAAATTAGCCAGGTGTGGTGCTGCACGCCTGTAGTCCCAGCTACTCTGGAGGCTGAGGCAGGAGAATCGCTTGAACCCAGGAGGCGGAGCTTGCGATGAGCCGAGATTGCGCCGCTGCACTCTAGCCTGGGCAACAGAGCAAGACTCTGTCCCCAAAAATAGGGCCAGATGCAGTGGCTCACACCTGTAATTCCAGCATTTTCGGAGGCCGAGGTGGGTGAATCACCGGAGGTCAGGAGTTCAAGACCAGACTGGCCAACGTGGCGAAACCTCATCTCTACTAAAAATATAAAAATGAGCCAGGCGTGATGGTGGGTGCCTTTAATCCCAGCTACTCAGGAGGCCGAGGCAGGAAAATTGTTTGAACCTGGGAGGTAGAGGTTGTAGTGAACCAAGGATCACACCACTGCACTCCAGCTTGCGTGACAAAGCAAGACTCTGTCTCAAAAACAAAAATGCCTTTTATATGCAAACCAGCCAATTCTGAGCCCACATCCCCAGCCATTTCCTTTGTCTAATCCTTACACACCAAGCCAATATTTTCTCTGCCCTAAATCGGCCCAGGGTCAGGCACCAATCAACCAGAGGCCACTGCTATAGCCCCAAGCCAGCCAAAATAATTCAAACTGTGCAATCCTAAACTTGCTTGAACTTGCCAACCTAGCTTGCCACCCTTCCTTGTGGAAACCACAAGAAGAGCTCTGGGCCATGCTCTTTCCTGGCTCCTCCTGACTTTCCACTAATCTGGTGTTTCCCCGTCTGGCCCTGCAGAGCATGCAGTGCCTCCTGCCTCCAGGAACTGTGAGTAGTAAACTTGTTTCAATGACAGTGACTCTCTATATCATCAGTCACACCTATATGTTAAATCCCAGGCACATTTTAAAACAACCTGCCTTATTAGTAAGAGGACTGGCCACCCCTTTTTGAGGCTTCCTCTTCTTGAATTGTCCAAGATGACCTGAGGTCAGAAGTTTGAGACCAGCCTGGCCAACATGGTGAAACCCCATCTCACCATGTTAGTAAAAATACAAAAAATTAACTAGGTGTGGTGGCACACACCTGTAGCCTCAGCTACTTGGGAGGCTGAGGCAGGAGAATCACTTGACCCTGGGAGGCAGAAGTTACAGTGAGCCGAGATTGCACCATTGCACTTCAGCCTGGGCGACAAAGAAAGACTTTGTTCCCCGCAAAAAAAAAAAAAAAGGCTGGGTATGGTGGTGCATGTCTGTGGTCCCAGCTACTTGGGAGGCTGAGAGGGGAGGATCACTTGAGCCTGGGAGGTTAAGGCTTCAGTGAAGAAAAGAAAAAAAAAAAGAACTCTAAAGTTTCATCTCTAGCTGGGCGTGGTGGCTCACACCTGTAATCCCAACACTTGGGGAGGTTGAGGCTGATGGATCACTTGAGGCCAGCAGTTCGAGACCAGCCTGGCCAACATGGTGAAACCCTGTCTCTGCTAAAAATGCAACAAATTAGCCAGGCATGGTGGCATGTGCCTGTAATGCCAGCTACTCAGGAGGCTGAGGCAGAAGAATCATTTGAAACCAGGAGACGGAGGTTGCAGTGAGCTGAGATTGTGCCACTGCACTCCAGCCTGGGTGACAGAGAAAAACTGTCTCAAAAAAACAAAAAAAGTTCAATCTCTAGTTAGACACCCACCCCACTATACGCACACATAAATATATGCATATGTGTGGATAGACAGAATCTGAGTGTTTACTATGCTACTATCCTTCAGATCTCAATTTAGGTATCACTAGCATAGGACTAAGCATTTTATATCCATGTCTTATTTAACTCTGAAAACGCACCCCATTAGATTGGTACTGTTCCTCTTTTTTTTCTTTTTCTTCCCCCCTGTCCCAGGCAATTGTTTATAGCAGTATGAGATTTCGTCTTCTTTTTTTTTTTTTTTTTTGATGGCTTCTTGTTCTGTTACCCAGGCTGGAGTGCAGTGACGTCATCTCAGCTCACTGCAACCTTCGCCTCCCAGGTTCAAGTGATTCTCCTGCCTCAGCCTCCCGAGTAGCTGGGATTACAGGTGTGCGCCACCACGCCCAGCTAATTTTTGTATTTTTAGTAGAGACGGGGTTTCACCATGTTTGCTAGGCTGATCTAGAACTCCAGACTTCGTGATCTGCCCACCTTGGCCTCCCAAAGTGCTAGGATTACAGGTGTGAGCCACTGCACCCAGACCCTTTTTTTTTTCTTTAGAGATGAGATCTCGCTCTGTCACCCAAGCTGGAGTGCAGTGGCTCCATCTTGGCTCACTGCCACCTTGACCTCCAGGCTTTCAGCAATCCTCCTGCCTCAGCCTCCCAGACTGCTGATGTTACAGGCGTTAACCACCATGCCCAGCCTCTTTTTGTAGATTAGCAAACAGAGGCACAGAGGCATGAAGCAATTTACTTAAGACTACACAGCTAAGAAACAGTAGCACTAGGATTTAAACCTTGTCTCACTGAGTTCAAGGAGTTGAAGTTCTTTTTTATTTTTATTTTTTGAGGTGGAGTTTCATTCTTGTTGTCCAGGCTGGAGTGCAATGGTGTCATCTCAGTTAACCGCAACCTCTGCCTCCTGGGTTCAAGTGATTCTCTTTCCTCAGCCTCCCGTGTAGCTGGGACTACAGGCACATGCCACCTTGCCTGGCTAACTTTTTGTATTTTTAATAGAGATGGGATTTTACCATATTGACCCGGCTGGTCTCAAACTCCTGACCTCAGGTGATCCACCCACCTTGGCCTCCCAAAGAGGCGTGAGCCTCCTCATCCAGCCGACATATCTTTAAGCATGAAATTTTTTTAAGTTTCCTGATTTATTTTATTTCGTTAGAGACAGGGTCTTATTCTGTCACCGAGTCTAGAGTGTAGTGACACCATCGTAATTCACTGCAGCCTTGAACTCCTGGGCTCCAGCACTCAGCCTCTCTAGTACCTGGGACCACAGGTATCTACCATCACAGTTGGCTAGCTTTTGTAAGTTTTTGTAGAGACCGGGTCTCTCCATGTTGCTCAGGCTGATCTCAAACTTCTGGTCTCCAGTGATCCTTCTGCCTCGGCTTCTAATCATGCTAGGATTACAGGCATGAGCCACTGCGCCTGGCCCAGACATGCTTTATTTTTAATATCCATGCCAACTTTGCATACTTCTGACTAACATATCCTATTTTATTTTATTATTTAAGAAAAAAGAGGTCGGGCACAGTGGCTCATGCCTGTAATCCCAGCACTTTGGGAGGTTGAGGTGGGTGGATCACCTGAGGTCAGGAGTTCGAGACCAGCCTGGCCAACATGAAGAAACTGTTTCTACTAAAAATACAAAAAAAAATTACCTGGGCATCGTGGCTGGGCACCTGTAATCCCAGCTACCTGGGAGGCTGAGGCAGAAGAATTGCTTGAATCTAGGAGGCAAAGGTTGCAGTGAGCCGAGATCACCCAATTTCACTCCAGCCTGGGCAAGAGAGAGAGACTCTGTCTCTAAAAAAGAAAAAAGGAGTGTTCTTTACTAATCCTCGGGTAAACTGAGGCTCAGATGAGGCTCCACGCTCCACCTCTGGTGATGGCTGCTTTTCCCTGGGTGTGCCTGTCACCCACAGTTGGAGAATCCCCAAGATGATAGGATTTGTTCTGCTGGGAGCACGTGGCTGCTTTTCTCAGGAGAAGATCTTCAGCTGTCTTGATGTATCTCTGCTACTAACCTAATTCCCTGGGGCCCCTGCCCATCTCCTGCTGAGTGTTGCCGTCTTCTTCCAGCATCCTCTGTGTTCTGAACCCCACGCCCCACACCCTCTCCTCAGGGTACACCATGACCTGGCTGCCCTCCCGGGAAAAGACTTGGCTGCTGGCCTCGGGAGCCCCTCGATACCAGCATGTGGGCCGAGTGCTGCTGTTCCAAGAGCCAGAGGGCAGAGGACACTGGAGCCAGGTCCAGGCAATCAATGGGACCCAGGTGAGCACAGCCCGAGGGCATCTGCAGACCAGGGGCTGGTGGGACACACGTCACACTCTCTGCTGTCCTTTGAACGCTCATCCACTTACCATGTGGCAGGCCCTGTGCTAAACACGATCATATTTGTCCCTCATAACACAGAGGTAAGCCCTGTCACTTCCCTCTCTAGTTTAAGAAACTGAGGCTGGGCGTAGTGGCTCATGCCTGTAATCCTAGTACTTTGAGAGGCCAAGGCAGGTGGATCACAAGGTCAAGAGATCAAGACCATCCTGGCCAACATAGTGAAACCGCATCTCTACTAAAAATACAAAAATTACAGGCGCGTGCCACCACGCCCAGCTAGTCTCAGCTACTCGGGAGGCGGAGACAGGAAAATCGCTTGAACCCAGTAAGCAGAGGTTGCAGTGAGCTGAGATTGTGCCACTACACTCTAGCCTGGTGACAGAATGAGACTCTGTCTCAAAAAAGAAAAGAAAAGAAAAGAAACGGAACCTCAAAGAGCCCACCTTGTCTTAATGCACATAGACTAGGGGTGGATCCAGGACTGGAACCTGCATTTGAGGGAGTGGCATAAGATGAGCTCAGAACGGGTATCTCCCTGCCAGCCCCTGCTGTTCCCACAGGTGCTTCCCCAGACACCTGCCTCTCTCCACAGATTGGCTCTTATTTCGGTGGGGAGCTGTGCAGTGTGGATACGGACCAAGATGGGGAGACAGAGCTGCTGCTGATTGGCGCCCCGCTGTTCTATGGGGAGCAGAGAGGAGGCCGGGTGTTTATCTACCAGAGAAGACAGGTGGGGCCAGGATCTGGAGCTGAGGGGTAGGAGGGGAAGGCTTTCCCTGTCTGGCCATGTGGTGATTAAACTTTTAGAACAACAGACAGGCGAGAGTGAATCCTCACTGGTGAAATACTGTGTGCAGGGTCCAGTGCCAAACTTTTTTTTGTTGAGATGGAGTCTCACTCTTGTCGCCCAGGCTAGACTGCAGTGGTGCGATCTTGGTTCACTGCAACCTCCGCTTCCTGGGCTCAAGCGATTCTCCTGCCTCAGCCTCCTGAGTAGCTGGGATTACAGGCATCCACCACCACGCCCAGCTAATTTTTGTATTTTTAGAAGAGACGGGATTTTGCCATGTCGGCCAGGCTGGTCTTGAACTCCTGACCTCATGTGATCCACCCACCTCAGCCTCCCAAAGTGCTGAGATTACAGGCTTGAGCCACTGCGCCTGGCTATAAAACTTTTTATAGATCACAACCTCACTTTCCTCGTGACAATCTGCTGAGATCCCACAAGCTTTATTTTATATATAGGAATTCCTGGGGTGCAGTGTCTCACGCCTGTAATCCCAGCACTTTGAGAGCCTGAGGCAGAACAATTCCTTGAAGCCAGGAGTTCAAGACTAGCCTGGGCAACATGACAAGATCCTGTTTCTACAAAAATAAAAATAAATAAATTACAGTTAAAAAGTTAGTCAGGTACAATGGTACTTGCCTGCAGTCCCAGCTACTTGGGAGGCTGAGGTGGGAGAATCACTTGAGCCCAGGAGTTCGAGGCTGTAGTGAGCTGTGATCATCCCACTGCACTCCAGCCTGTGTGACAGAGCAAGACTCTGTCTCAAAAAAAATTATCCAAAAAAAGTATATATATATATATATGGAAACCCCAAGGCTCAGTAAGGGGTTATCTGAAGCCACAAGGTCACACAGACAGTAAGAGGTTGGGCTGGGGCTTGAACTGTAGTTATCTGACAGCCCCGTTTGAATTCTGTGAGGGACCCCGTCTTATATTTCTTTAGCATTCTTCACTCAGTTGTTCTGTGACAGCTTACTGAGTAACTTGGGTGTGACCTGTCTCTTGCTACTTCCTAGTTGGGGTTTGAAGAGGTCTCAGAGCTGCGGGGGAACCCCGGCTACCCACTCGGGCGGTTTGGAGAAGCCATCACCGCCCTGACAGACATCAATGGCGATGGGCTGGTGGATGTGGCTGTGGGGGCCCCTCTGGAGGAGCAGGGGGCTGTGTACATCTTCAATGGAATGCATGGGGGACTGAACCCCCAACCAAGTCAGGTGAGGTACCCTGCCTGCCAATCACACTCCAGTCTTGGGTGCTCAAAGTCCCCAAGCCCAAACGCCACTCCCCAGCCCAACCCTTCCCCCCTTCCAACCTGCCTCTTTTCAGCTTAGCGGGAATTTCTCTCTTGCTCTTAGCGGATAGAAGGGACCCAGGTGCTCACAGGAATTCGGTGGTTTGGACGCTCCATTCATGGGGTGAAGGACCTTGAAGGGGATGGCTTGGCAGACGTGGCCGTGGGGGCGGAGGGCCAGATGATCGTGCTGAGGTAAGACGGGGCTCCCGGGTCCCACCTGATGACCCCAGCTGTTATCCTTTGTTTTGTTTATATTTTATTTCTTTATTTATTTTGGTTTTTTTTTTTTAGAGACAAGTTCTTTCTCTGTCGCTCAGGCTAGAGTGCAGTGACATGATCCTAACTCACTGCAGCCTCAAACTGCTGGGCTTAAGTGATCCTCCCACCTCAGCCTCCCAAGTAGCTGGGACTACAGGTGCTTGCCACCACACCTGGCTATTTTTTTTTTTTTTTTGGTAGAAATGGGGATCTGCTATGTTGCCCCAGGTGGTCTCAAACTCCTGGTCTCAAACTATCCTTTCTTCTCAGCCTCCCAAAGTGCTGGGATTACAGGCAGGAGACACTGTATATGGTCTATTTATTTTTTTAGTACATGCTTCCAGGCCAGACGTGGTGGCTCACGCCTGTAATACCAGCACTTTGGGAAGCCAGGGCAGGTGGATTACTTGAGGTCAGGAGTTCGAGACAAGCCTGACCAACATGTTGAAACCCCGTCTCTACTAAAATTATAAAATTAGATGGGTGTGATGGCGAGGACCTGTAATCTCAGCTACTCAGGAGGCTGAGGCAGGAGAATGGCTTCAACCCAGGCGGTAGAGGTTACAGCGAACCAAGATTGCACCTTTGCACTCCAGCCTAGGCAACAAGAGAGAAACTCTGAACCCCACACCACCCCCACCACCCCCCAAAAAAAGATACGGTCTTATGAGGTAGGCAGATCACCTGAGGTCAGGAGTTTGAGACCAGCCTGGCCATCAAGGTGAAACCCTGTGCCTAGTAAAAATACAAAAAAATATAGCCAGGCATGGCAGGCACCTATAATCCCAGCTACTTGGGAGACTGAGGCAGGAGAATTGCTTGAACCCAGGAGGCAGAGGTTGTAGTGAGCCAAGGTCGTGCCACTGCACTCAAACCTGGGCAACAGAGTGAGACTGCATCTCAAAAAAAAAAAGAAAAAAGAAAAGAATATACAGTCTTGCTACTTTGCCCAGGCTGGTCTCAAACTCCTGGGCTCACAGGATTCTTCTGCCTCAACTTCCCAAGTAGCTGGGATTACAGACATGGGCACTGCACCTGGCCGCATGCTCTGCGCAGTTACTGTGTGCCAGGCCCCGTGCAGATGTTTTGTAGGCGTGAGCTCACTGGGTCTTCACACAGCCCTGTTAGGTAGGTTTACTTTTTATAGAGCGTTCATGTCTTACTCCAGATTGAACAGTGGCCATCAGTGATGGAACTGGGATGTGCACCCAGGGCTATCTGACACTGAAACCTCATAGAGAAGGAACATCATGGGATCAGGAAAAGCATAGCTTTAGAACATGGTGACCTGGAATCAAGTTAAGGCTCTGCCGTTTACTTCTGGGATGCTGTTACTCCACTCACTTAGCTGCCTTTTTTTTTTTTTTTTTTTGTAAACTCCACCTCCTGGGTTCAAGTGATTCTCCTGCCTCAGCCTCCCGAATAGCTGGGATTATAGGTGACTGCCACCACACCCAGCTAATGTGTGTATTTTTTAGTAGAGATGGGATTTCACCATGTTGGCCAGGCTGCTCTTGAACTCCTGACCTCAGGTGATCCACCTCCCTTGGCCTCTCAAAGTGCTGAGATTACAGGCGTGAGCCACTACACCCCACCCACTTAGCTTCTTGGGACCCATGTTTCCTCATCTTTGAAATGGTAGTGACATTTACTGCCTTACCCATGTCTTAGAATTGCTGGGAGGATCATGTAATATCTGATGGTGAATAGTTATTTATTGATCACCTGCTGCATCTCAAACACTAAATCAGGCACTGGGGAGAGAACTTATATGTTGGAAAATGTATAATTAAAAATTAGCAGGGTGTGGTGGCTCATGTGGGTAATCCCAGCACTTTGAGATGACATGTGGTGGGAGAATCACTTGAGCTCAAGAGTTTGAGACCAGCCTGAGCAATATAGTGGGACACAATCTGTATGTTTTTTTGTTTGGTTTGTTTTTTTAAAAAAACAAAACAAAACAAAACAAAACAAAAAACAAAACAAAACAAAAAAAACATTGTCTTGCTCTGTCACCCAGGCCAGAGTGCAGTGGTATGATCTTGGCTCATTGCAACCTCCATCTCCCGGGTTCAAGTGATTCTCCTGCCTTGGCCTTCCAAGTAGCTGGGATTACAGGTGTGAACCACCATACCCCACTAATTTTTTTGTATTTTCAGTAGAGATGGGCCATGGCTGGTTTTGAACTCCTGACCAAAAGGGATCTGCCCGCCTCAACCTCCTAAAGTGATAGGATTACAGACGTGAGCCACCATACCCAGCATTTATTATTATTATTTTTTTTAATTCGCCAGGTATGGTGGTGCGTGACTGTAGACACAACTACTTGGGATGCTGAGGCAGGAGCATGACTTGAACCTGGGAAATCGAGGTTGCAGTGAGCTGTGATCATGCCACTGCACTGCAGCCTGAGTGACAGAGTGAGATCCCATCACAAAAAAAAAATTCATAGGGCAAGCGCAGTGGTTCACGCCTATAATCCCAGCACTTTGGGAGGCCAAGGCGGGCAGATCACAAGGTCAGGAGTTTGAGACAAGCCTGGCCAATATGGCAAAACTCCATCTCTACTAAAAATAATAATAATAATAACAATAATTAGCCAGGCATGGTGGCACATGCCTGTAGTCCTAGCTACTTGGGAGGCTGAGGCAGGAGAATCGCTTGAACCCAGGAGGTGAAGGTTGCAGTGAGACGAGATCGTGCCACTGCACTCCGGCCTGAGCGACAGAGCAAGGCTGTTTCTAACAATAACAACAAAAAGCTGGAATTTTTTATTACGAAGCATAATAAAATTCATGCAAGCATCATCAAAGGCTAAAACGTAAACACAAAAGTAACTCAGTATGATTTCCCTTCCTAAGAGCTCACTCTTCATGGAAAATGGGTCAGAAGCTGCAAGAATGCACTGGGAGCCCCAATTATCGTCATTACTGGCCAGGCGTGTTGGCTCACACCTATAATCCCAGCACTTTGGGAGCCAAAGGTGGGAGGACTGCTTGAGCTCAGGAGTTCAAGACCAGCCCGGACCACATAGGAAGATCCCTTCTCTACAGAAATTTTTTCTAATTAACCATGTGTTTTGGCACATGCCTGTGGTCCCAGCTCCTTGGGAGGCTGAGGTGGGGGGATCACTAGAGCCTAGGAGGCTGAGGCTGCAGTGAGCTGTGATCATGTCACTGCATACCAGCCTGGGCAAAAGAGTGAGACCCTATCTCAAAATAAATAAATAAAAAGTATCATTATTATTTTTCTTAAGAGGAGACAGTCGGCCGGGCGCGGTGGCTCAAGCCTGTAATCCCAGCACTTTGGGAGGCCGAGGCGGGTGGATCACGAGGTCAAGAGATCGAGACCATCCTGGTCAACATGGTGAAACCCCATCTCTACTAAAAATACAAAAATTAGCTGGGCATGGTGGCGCGTGCCTGTAATCCCAGCTACTCAGGAGGCTGAGGCAGGAGAATTGCCTGAACCCAGGAGGCGGAGGTTGCGGTGAGCCGAGATCGCGCCATTGCACTCCAGCCTGGGTAGCAAGAGCGAAACTCCATCTCAAAAAAAAAAAAAAAAAAAAAGAGGAGACAGTGACATTTTGAAGTCTGCTTTAGGGAAGGAGAGTTCTCTGGGCTCTGCTGGCAGAAGGCCACATCTGAGGGGGGTGTGCGGTTGGGATGGAGGGGAGAGACTTGGTTGCTTTCTGCCCTGCAGCTCCCGGCCCGTGGTGGATGTGGTCACTCTGATGTCCTCCTCTCCAGCCAAGATCCCAGTACATGAAGTGGAGTGCTTCTATTCAGCCAGTAACAAGATGAAGGAAGGCGTTAATATCACAGTCTGTTTCCAGATCAAGTCTCTCATCCCCCAGTTCCAAGGTCAGAGCTCTCCTCCTGCTCCACAGGGCAGCTGCCACCCCAAATCTATGCTTACAGCCCCAGGATCCCCCACCATTCAACTCCTGCCTTTTCCACCCTGCCCAGGCCGCCTGGTTGCCAATCTCACTTACACCCTGCAGCTGGACAGCCACCGAACCAGAAGCCGGGGCTTGTTCCCAGGAGGGAGACAAGAACTCAGCAGGAACATAGCTGTCACCACCAGCATGTCCTGCAATGACTTCTCATTCCATTTCCCGGTAAGGGAGTCAGTCCCAATGCTCTGGGATGAGCTGCCTGCAGGGGCAGGCTCAACTCTGTCACTATCCGCTGGTAGACATGTTACTTGATCCCTCTGTGCTGATTACTTCTCCTGTGCAATAGTAGTAATAACACCTTTAGCATATTTTGTTCTAGTGGGTTTTTAAAAAATGTTTTATATTATTTATCTGAGACAAAGTCTCCCTCTGTCGCCCAGGCTGGAGTGCAGTGGCTTGATCTCGGCTCACCACAGCCTCCACCTCTCAGGTTCAAGCAATTCTCCTGTCTCAGCCTCCCGAGACACCTGCCGCCACACTGGCTAATTTTTTTTTTTTTTTTTATCTTTAATAGAGACAGAGTTTCACCATGTTGGCCATTTTTACAGAATATTCAGTTGTCGTAGCATTTCATTATTTGCCAGGTTCATGTCATGCGTCCCAGAAAAAGTCGTTTTTTTTGTTTGTTTGTTTTGTTTTTTCAAGACAGAGTTTCACTCTTGTTGCCCAGGCTGGAGTGCAATGGTGCAATCTCCACTCACCACAACCTCCACCACAGCTGAATAGCAGCCTCCTGAGTAGCTGGGATTACGGGCGTGCAACACCACGCCTGGCTAATTTTGTATTTTTACAAAATTACAAAAGTTCAGGCTGGTCTTGAACTTCCAACCTCAGGTGATCCACCTGCCTCAGCCTCCCAAAGTGCTAGGATTACAGACATGAGCCACTGTGCCCAGCCAAGTTTTTTATTTAAGTCTTGTGTTTGGTACATGGAAAAAAAGTTTTTAAAAGGATTTAAACAGGCCAGTCACAGTGGCTCATGTCAGCACTTTGAGAGGCTGAAGTAGGTGGATCACTTGAGCTTAGGAGTTCAACACCAACTTAGGCAACATAGCGAGACCCCTTCTCTACAAAAAAAAAAATACAAAATACAAAATACAAAATAATCAGCCAGGCTTGGTGAAATACACCTGTATTCTCAGCTACCTGGGAGGCTGAAGCAGGAGGATTGCTTGAACCCAGGAGGTGCAGGTTGCAGTGAACTGTGATTGTGCCACTGCACTCTAGCCTGGGCAACAGAGTGAGACTCTGTCTCAAAAATAAACAAAGTTTAAACAACTAAAATACCCAGATTCAGTTGCTTATAAGCAATCCTGTGTAAAATGGAATTGATATCAAATTATTATGTTCTCTTAAATATTTTATAAAAGGCCAGGCACAGTGGCTCATGCCTGTAGTCCCAGTACTTTGGGAGGCTGAGGCAGGTGGATCACTTGAGGTCAGGAGTTCAAGACCACCCTGGCCAACATGGTGAAACCCCATCTCTGCTAAAATACAAAAAGTTAGTCAGGTGTGGTGGCAGGCACCTGTAATCCTAGCTACTCGGGAGGCTGAGACAGGAGAATCACTTGAACCTGGAGGTGGAGGTTGCAGTGAACTGAGATCGCCCCATTGCACTCCAGCCTGGGCAACAATAGCAAAACTCCATCTCAAAAAAAAAAGTTATAAAAGACACTATAGGATTGGGGTATAAGAATTTGAGGTTTGTTTTAAACTTTTTGTTTTTGAGATGGAGTCTCACTCTGTTCCCCAGGCTGGAGTACATTGGTATGATCTGGGCTCACTTCAGCCTCTGTCTCCTGGGTTCAAGCGGTTCTCTCAACTCATCTTCCCAAGTAGCTGGGATTACAGTTGTGCACCACTATGCCCAGATAAGTTTTGTATTTTTAGTAGAGACGGAATTTCACCATGTTGGACAGGCTGGTCTCAAACTCCTGACCTCAAGGGATCCACCTGCCTCAGCCTCCCAAAGTGCTGGCATTATAGGCATGAGCTACCACACTTAGCCCATTTTAAACTTTTTTTTTTTTTTTTTGAGACAGAGTCTTGTTCTGTCACCAGACGCCAGGCTGGAGTGCAGTGGCGCGATCTTGGCTCACTGCAACCTCCGCCTCCCAGGTTCAAGCAATTCTCCTGCCTCAGCCTCCCACGTAGCTGAGACTACAGGCACGCGCCACCATACCCAGCTAATTTTTGTATTTTTAGTAGAGACAGGGTTTCACCATGTTGGACAGGATGGTCTTGATCTCTTGTCCTCGTGATCCACCCGTCTCGGCCTCCCAAAGTGCTGGAATTACAGGCGTGAGCCACTGCGCCCGGCCAATTTTAAACTTTTTATTATGGGGAATGTGAATCATACAAAACTAGAAAAAAATAGTTTAATGAATCCCCAGATCCTCATCACGCAGTTTCAATGATCAAATCACCTTCGATTTCATTCAAACCTCCTCTAAGTGCCTCTCTGCCCCCTCGAATTCCACCTCTTACAAGATTTAGACATTTTAAACATAAATTTGCCAGAAAAGAAAGCAGTGTGACATGGTGGAAAGACCCCGGATTTTGGATTTGGACAGATTTGGGTTCAAATCTTGAGTCTGTCACTTCTAGTTCATAGGACAATTGTGCCATCTTTTCAGTTTTCATTTTCTTTTTCTTTTCTAGAGGTAGAGGAGGGAGGGAGGAAGGATGAAAGAGAAAGAGAAAGGAAGGAGGGAAGGAAGAAGGAAAGAAAGAAGGAGAGAGAGAGATGAAGGAAGGAAGGAAGGGAGAGGGAAGGAGGGTAGAAAGGAAGGAAAAGAAGAAAAAAGAAGAGAGAAGGAAGGAAGGGAAAGAAAAAAAGGAAAGGGGCCGGGCGCGGTGGCTCAAGCCTGTAATCCCAGCACTTTGGGAGGCCGAGGCGGGTGGATCACGAGGTCGAGAGATCGAGACCATCCTGGTCAACATGGTGAAACCCCGTCTCTACTAAAGATACAGAAAACTAGCTGGGCATGGTGGTGCGTGCCTGTAATCCCAGCTACTCAGGAGGCTGAGGCAGGAGAATTGCCTGAACCCAGGAGGCGGAGGTTGCGGTGAGCCGAGATCGTGCCATTGCACTCCAGCCTGGGTAACGAGAGCGAAACTCTGTCTCAAAAAAAAAGAAAAAAAGAAAAAAAGGAAAGGAAGGGAGAGCTCGTTGTCCTTATTATAAAGGTTGGGGTAACAATACCTACCTCTTGGGATTAGCAGAAACTTTAGGTGAAAAACAATTTGAGTACCTACAGCATGTCAGTGTCAGGCATAGGTAATAACAAGTGACTAAGACCCAGCCTTGTTCTCAAGGAACAAAATTCTACAACTAGGATATTCTGGTTATTCTGGAATTTTCTTCTGTAAGCTTTGATAATGACTACCTATGTCAAAGATTCAGGGGCTTCCGTTAGGACACAGTGGGGAAAAAGTGCTGGGATCGATTAGTGCTGTCTGCCAGGGAACTGGGGCTGAGGATGAAACCTGTGCTGAGAAGCCCCCTGGGCAAACACCTGCTATGTAGTCAAACGGATTTTCCCTACTGGTGTAGGGTCTTAGACAAATCACCAGCAGAATGTCATCATTTGTAAAATGCTGACAAGGTATACATCTCGTTGGAAGTGTGGTAAAGGCCAGATCCATGACACAGGCTGTCTTCTCATCATCCCCAGGTGTGTGTTCAAGACCTCATCTCCCCCGTTAATGTCTCCCTGAATTTCTCGCTTTGGGAGGAGGACGGGACACCGAGGGACCAAAGGGCGGTAAGAAGAGATGGCTAAGAATGGTGCAGAGTTTCCCAGAGAAATCCATTTGGCAAGAAGTGACTATCCAATGGCCAGGCAGCTCACTCCTTTAATGCCAGCACTTTGGGCAGCTAAAGTGGGTGGATTACTTGAGGTCAGGAGTTCGAGTGACCTCAAGTCGAACAGTTGGCCAGCCTAGCCAACCGTTCGATGGTGAAACCCCATCTCTACTAAAAATACAAAAATCAGCTGGGTGTGATGGTACACTTGACGCCAGGGGTTTGAGAACAGCCAGGCATAGTCAGACTCCCTTTCTAGAAAACATAAGAAATTAGCCGGGTGTGATGGTGTACCCCTGTAGTCCCAGCTACCCAGGAGGCAGAGCAGAGAGGATCACTTGTGCCCAGAGAGTTGAGGCTGCAGTGAGCTATTGAGCTATGATTGCACCACTGCACTCCAGCCTGGACAACAGCAAAGTGAGACCCTGTCTCTAAACAAGAAAAAAAAAGAGCCAACCCAGTGTGGTGGCTCATGCCTGCAATCCCAGCAATTTGGGGAGGCTGAGGCGAGTGGATTGCTTGAGGCCAGGAGTTCGAGACCAGCATGGCCAACATGGCAAAAACCTGTCTCTATTAAAAAAAAAAATTACACACACACACACACACACACACACATTTTTGAGACTAAGTTTTACTCTCATTGCGCAGGCTGGAGTGCAACAGCATGATCTTGGCAACCTCCGCCTCCTGAGTTCAAGCCATTCTCCTGCCTCAGTCTCCCGCATAGCTGGAATTACAGGCATGCACCAGCATGCCCAGCTAATTTTGTATTTTTAGTAGAGACGGGGTTTCTCCATGTTGATCAGGCTGGTCTCAAACTCCTGACCTCAAGTGATCCACCTGACTCAGCCTCCCAAAGGGCTGGGATTATAGGCGTGAGCCATTGCACCCAGCTTACTAAAAATATTTTTACAAAATTAGCTGAAAGTGGTGGTGCATACCTGTAATCACAGCTACTCAGGAGGCTGAGGCAGGAGAATCGCTTGAACCCAGGAGGCAGAGATTGCAGTGAGCAGAGATTGCGCCACTGCACTCCAGCCTGGGTAGCAGAGTGAGACTTGTCTTTAAAAAAAAAAAAACAAAAGATCTGATGCGGTGGCTCACTCCTGTAATTCCAACACTTTGGGAGGCCGAGACGGGTGGATCACAAGGTCAGGAGATCAAGACCATCCTGGCTAACACTGTGAAATCCCATCTCTACTAAAAACAAATACAAAAAAATATTAGCTGGGCATGGTGGTGCATGCCTGTAGTCCCAGCTACCTGGGAGGCTGAGGCAGGAGAATCCCTTGAACTCAAGAGGCAGAAGTTGCAGTGAGCCGAGATCACTCCACTGCACTCCAGCCTGGCAACAGAGCAAAACTCTGTCTTAAAAAATTAAAAAGCAACAAAGAGCTGCCACCAGAGTCCAGCTGCGCAAGTGCTGTGGGCTGAGGCAGGGGAATGAGGCAACCCTGGGAAGGGAGCTGGCTCCTGGCCAGGGCCAACCACAGCGAGTCCAGTTGAGGTAAGCTCCTGCCCCTCCATTCCTCCTTCACGAGGTCTGCTGCCTCCGCTAATCTCTCCTCTCTCCATCCTGCCCACTCCCCTTGCTCGACAGGGCAAGGACAGACCACCCATCCTGAGACCCTCCCTGCACTTGGAGACCTGGGAGGTAAGAGGGGAGGAGGGGCAGGTAGAGAGGCCTGGGGCCCGGTTCCTCCTGGTCTGAGCCTCTTACTCCTTTCTTCTTGGCCTTTCAGATCCCTTTTGAGAAGAACTGCGGGGAGGACAATAAGTGTGAGGCAAACATGAGAGTGTCCTTCTCAACTGCAAGGTCAGTAAGGCCGCCCCACCTCCAGCCTCCCATCCACTCTGTTTTAAGACCCCCGGCTCCACTCACCAGATACATCATTTGGAGACACCACTTCCCTCTCTTGGGCCTTCTTTTCTTTTCCTGAGAAATTCAAGGTTGAACTCAGTGGCTCCTGCCTGTAATCCCAGCACTTCAGGAGGCCAACCAAGGTGGGAAGACTGCTTGAAGCCAAGAGTTCAAGACCAGCCTGGGCAGCATAGCAAGACCCTGTCACTACAAAAATTTTAAAAATTAGCTGGGCGTGTATTCCCATGCGTGTATTCCCAGCTACTCAGGAGGGTGAGGCAAGAGGATCACTTGAGCCCAGGAGTTCGAGGCTGCAGTGAGCTATGACCATGCCACTGCACTCCAGCCTGAGCCTCAGAGCAAGACCCTGTCTCTAAAAAATAAAACATAAATAAAATAAAAAGCAAATCCTTCATGGAACTCCCATCAGTGAGCAGTAAACGAGATTGCAAGAATTGCAAAACTGAAAGGCTGGGCATGGCCAGGCGTGGTGGTTCACGCCTGTAATCCTAGCACTTTGGGAGGCTGAGGTGGGCAGATCACCTGAGGTCGGGAGTTTGAGACCAGCCTGACCAACATGGAGAAAACTTGTCTCTACTAAAAATACAAAAATTAGCCGGACGTGGTGACGCCTGCCTGTAATCCCAGCTCCTCGGGAGGCTAAGGCAGGAGAACCACTTGAACTTAGGAAGTGAGTTTGCAATAAGCTAAGACTGCATCATTGCACTCCAGCCTGGGCAACAGAGCAAGACTCTATCTGAGGAAAAAAAAAAAAAAAAAAAAAAAAAAAAAAGGCTGCGTATGAAAGATGATTGGTTTTGATTTACTTCTTACTGGTCCACCAGATCCCTCAGTTCTGATATTCCCTACCCTGATCCTGCCTCCTCCATCTTGGACCCTAACTTTTCCCTGATCATCTCCCACAGATCCAGAGCCCTGCGTCTGACCGCATTTGCCAGCCTCTCTGTGGAGCTGAGCCTCAGTAACTTGGGAGAAGATGCTTACTGGGTCCAGCTGGATCTGCACTTCCCCCAGGGACTCTCCTTCCGAAAGGTGGAGATGCTGAAGGTGGGTGAGAGGACAGCACCAGGTGTGCATTCCACAGTCACTGCTCCCATCTTTGAACCCCAGGTGGCCAGGACAGCCTGAACACGTAGACAGCTGTGGGTGGACAGGGGTCTCAGGGTCACATCTGGGTTCCCAGCCTAGAGCTGTATGATCTGAGGTATAAGGTTTTACCCTCAGGCTGGGCATGGTGGCTCACGCCTGTAATCCCAACCCTTTGGGAAGCCAAGGCAGGAGGAGCAGCCGAGATCAGGAGTTCAAGACCAGCCTGACTAACATGGTGAAACCCTGTCTCTACTAAAAAAATACAAAATTAGCCAGGTGTGGTGGTGTGTGCCAGTAGTCCCAGCTACTAGGGAGGCTAAGGCAGGAGAATCATTTGAACCTGGGAGACAGAGGCTACTGTGAGCCGAGATGGCACCACTGCACTCACTCCAGCCTGGTTACAGAGCAAGACTCCATCTCAAAACAATAAATAAATAAATAGAGACAGAGTCTCACTATGTTCCCCAGGCCGGTCTCAAACTCCTGAGTTCAGGCAATCTGCCCACCCCAGCCTCCCAAAGTGCTAGGATTACAGGTGTGAACCAGTGCGCCTGGCCGAATTTCCTTGCTTTTTAAGGTTGAATAATATTCCATTTTATGTATAGACCGTATTTGGTTTCTTTGTCTGTTGATGAACACTTGAATCATTCTCATACAGCAGCACCGAATGCTTCCTTGCTGGATGTGGTGTGCACCTCCAATTCCAGCTATCTGGGGGCTGAGGTGGAGGAGTGCTTGAGCCCAGGAGCTCGAGGCTGCTGTGAGCTATGATCACACCAGTGCACTTTAGCCTGGGCAACAGAGCAAGACTCTGTCTCTACAAAAAATTAAATAGGCCGGGCGCGGTGGCTCACACCTGTAATCCCAGCACTTTGGGAGGCCGAGGCGGGTGGATCACGAGGTCAAGAGATCGAGGCCATCCTGGTCAACATGGTGAAACCCCGTCTCTACTAAAAATACAAAAAACTAGCTGGGCATGGCGGCACGTGCCTGTAATCCCAGCTACTCAGGAGGCTGAGGCAGGAGAATTGCCTGAACCCAGGAGGCGGAGGTTGCGGTGAGCTGAGATCGCGCTGTTGCACTCCAGCCTGGGTAACAAGAGGGAAACTCCGTCTCAAAAAAAAAAAAAAATTAAATAATTAGCCAGATGTGGAGGGTGTGCCTGTAGTCCTGCTACTCAGGAGGCTGAGGTGAGTGGATCACCGGAGTTCACCATTGCCCTCCAGCTTGGGTGATAAAGTGAGACTGTCTCAGAAAAAACAAAACAAAACAAAACAAAAAACTGGGCTGGGTGTGGCGGCTCATGCCTATAATCTCAATACTTTGAAAAGCTGAGGTGGGCAGATCACCTGAGGTCAGGAGTTCAAGACCAGCCTGGCCAACATAGTGAAACTCCATCTCTACTAAAAACACAAAAATATTAGCCAGGTGTGGTGGTAGATGCCTGTAATCCCAGCTACTCAGGAGGCTGAAGAAGGAGAATCACTGGAATCCAGCCAATGGAGGTTGCAGTGAGCAGAGATCGAGCCACTGCACTCCAGCCTGGGTGACAGTGAGAGACTCCATCTCAAAAAAGAAAAAGAAAAAATAACTGAAGTCCAACAGTTCTGTGTTCAAGGTCTTACGGATCCCTGCTGTTACTCAGTGATGACACTGTAGGAAAGTCCTGTTTCCTCATCTGTCTCCTTCCCGGTCTGAGACTGAAATCTGTCCTTGACAAGATTGGGATGAAGATGAATAGTTTCATAATGCTTAGCCCAGGAGCAGGCTGATTTTTAAAATGGTTACTGAATGTATAGAGGTCATAGCATTTTAAAAACTTCACACTAGTCTCTTTTCTGATTGTACCACGCTTTACTGAGCTGTTGTTATCTCTTTGAACTGTTTGAGCACTTCAGAGTGTTGCAGTTAGCCCCCCACCCCACTTTGGTTTTTGAGATAAGGTCTCACTCTGTCACCCAGGCTAAAGTGTAGCGGCACAAGCATGGCCTACTGCAGTCTCAGTCTCCTGGGCTCAAGTGATTCTGCTGCCTAATAGCTGGGATGACAGGCATGCCCCACTATGCTCAACTAATTTCAACGAATTTTTGTAGGCCACGTACAGAGGCTTACTTACCCTTGTAATCCCAGCACCTTGGGAGGCCAAGTCAGGCAGATCACTTGAGCCCAGGAGTTCAGGAGCAGCCTGAGTGACACAGAGGGACTTCATCTCTACTAAAATACAAAAATTAACCAGACATGGTGGCACATCCCTGTGGTCCCAGCTACTTGGGAGGCTGAGGCAGGAGGATTGCTTGAGCCCAGGGGTCAGAGGTTACAGTGAGCCAAAATCACACTACTACATTCTAGCCTGGGCAACAGAGTAAGACCCTCTATTTTAAAAACATTTTTTTTGTAGAGATGGGATCTTACTATTGCCCAGGCTGATCTTGAACTCTTGGCCTCAAGTAATCCTCCCACCTCAGCCTCCCAAAGGGCTGGAATTTCAAGTGTGAGCTACCTTACCTGACCTTGCAGTGACTCTTTTGTACTAAGCCTCTGTCTGCAGCCCTGATTCTTGGACCCTTTCCCTCTGAGAAGGTGCCATGACAGGGAGAGTGCCCCTGGGCAAGGTGGGCCGGGAGGGCTGGTGGCCTCTGGTGGCCTCTTGCTCACTAACAAGCTCATTCCCTCCCTTCACTCCCAGCCCCATAGCCAGATCCCTGTGAGCTGCGAGGAGCTTCCTGCAGAGCCCACGCTTCTGTCCAGGGCATTCTCTTGCAACGTGAGCGCTCCCATCTTCAGAGCAGGCCGCTCCGTAAGTGCTTCAAGTCTCTAGGAACCGAGCAGCCTAGGGGCTCTGAGCTACTGGAGGGGAGGGAGCTCTTGGCTCAGGAGGAGGGAGCGGGGGATTGTCAGGAAGGGTGTACTTTGCCCCTACTGTAAGAGAAATGTATGCGAAGCTGTTTTGTGTCATGTTTGAGAACCTGGACGTTGGAATCGCAAAGCTGGGATTGGGTGATTCATTTTGTGACCTTATAGACATGACTTAGCCATTTGGAGCCTCGCCTGTCTCATCTTTACAATGGGTAGAATCCTAGCTCAGTGCTTGGGGTGCAGTGAGCACTTGATATAAGGGGTCCCTGGGATGATAGTGATTGGATGTGGGGGCTGCGAGGTGCTCAGGCTGCCCCTCAGCCCCTTCCATTTCCATTCCCCTCTCCTTCCCTGCCAGGTTGCTATGCAGATGATGTTTAATACGCTGGTAAACAGCTCCTGGGGGGACTCGGTCGAGTTGCGCGCCAATGTGACCTGGTGAGCAGGCCCCGCCCACATCCCCTGCCCTGGTTTCAGACCCGGCCAAGCCCTTCTCCTAACTCTGGCCTCTTCCGTGCCCCAATGCAGTACCAATGAGGACTCGGGCCTCCTGGAGGACAACTTGGCCAGTACCAGCATTCCCGTCCTGCACCCCATCAACGTCCTCATCCAGGAGTAAGTCCTTCCCTGCAGATGGCCAGTCCTCTCCTCCCACCACAGCCTCCCCAGCTAGGGCCCCAATTTTGCCCCCTGAGGCTCTCCTTCTGAACCTCCTTCCTTTCCTAGAGCCCCGCAGGGTCATCAGAACTGATGACAGCCACAATCCTAACAGTTTTCAACATCCCAAAATGTGGGGGCCCCGGAAGAGCTGAGGGAAGGATCAGCATTTACTGATGGAAGAAAAAACTCATTGAACACTGAAAGTATGTCAGACTCAGGGCCAGCTCCACTGCGAGGTTGCTAACATTCCCTGGAACCCTCAGCACCTCTGTGAGGCAGCTATGCTTCTTTCCATTTTACCGATGAACAAGCTGAGACTCGGAGAAGGCCAATACTCACTCAAGGGCCCACAGCTGGTACTAAAGCCAGGGTCTCAGCCCCAAAGCTTCAGCCAAGCTCCTGACTGTTTCAGTCACCCTAGATTCTCTCCCCTCCTGGGGGCCAGTAGTGCCAGGGAAGATAGGAGAAAAGTTATCACAATACCCTTGCCCTCAGGGAACTTATAGTCAAGTTGGAGAGACCAAACTCATGCACATACAGTCAGTGACTCTGTGCAGGAAGGACCCATGGGGATTGCTGGTTGGGTGTGTCACTGAGCCTGGGTCTGGCTGCTTATTACTTGAAAGCCAGATTCAAGGGACAAGAGTTGGTAGAAAGAAAGGCAGGTTTATCTGGAGAGCCAGGCAACTGAGAAGACAGTGAACTAGTGTTCTAAAGTACCGTCTTTAATGTTAAGGGTAGGAGGAAGAGGAAGGGGTTGAGATCAAGAGGTAACTTAGGAGCACAAACATCTGGACACCAAAGAGGATACACGGAGGTTGGGAATGTCTTGGTCCTTGGTCGGGTCACAGTGCTCCTATAAACCTTTAACAAAACACAGTTGTTCATATACGTCCCCTTTAATGCCAGACTTAGTTTTAAAAACTACCTGATTGCTGTTTTTTGCATATTGGTGCTCTAAAATCATCCTAGCCTAGGGGCGGGATGGGTAAAGTCCTCTTCAACAAAAATGGAGGACATTATATCAGTTTTTTGCTATTTCAAAAAAACCTGCTACAGGTTTTCCTGCTTGTAGAGAAGGAAACTTGGCCAGGTGTGGTGGTTCACACCTGTAATCCCATCCCTTTGGGAGGCTGAGGCGGGTGGATCACTTGAGATCGGGAGTTCGAGACCAGCCTGGTCAACATGGTGAAACTCCATCTCTACTAAAACACAAAAAACAGCTGGGCATTGTGGTAGTGGGCACCTGTAATCCCAGCTACTCTGGAGGCTGAGGCAGGAGAATCCCTTGAACCTGGGAGGAGGAGGTTACAGTGAGCTGAGATCGCACTTTGGCCTGGGTGACAGAGTAAGACCCTGTCTGAAAAAAAAAAGCGGAGGGGACTCAAAAAGTCAAGTGGCTTTTTCCAGTTGGCTCAGTTACAGAAGGACCAAGAAGGATGGAGATACTGTCTGAGCCCAGATCTCCAATGCTTTTTAAAAAATTTTTATTTTTTAAGAGACAGAGTCTCACTCTGCTGCTGAGGCTGGAGTAGAGTTGCACGATCCCGGCTCACTACAACCCCTCTGCCTCTTGGGTTCAAGAGTTTCTCCTGCCTCAGGCCGCCAAGTAGCTGGGATTACAGGTACCAGCCACCACAATGCCTGGCTAACTTGTTTTTATTTTTAATAGAGACGGGATTTTTACCATGTTGGCCAGGCTGGTCTCAAACTCCTGACCTCCGGTGATCTGCCTGCTGAGGCCTCCCAAAGTGCTGGGATTACAGGCATGAGCCTCCGTGCCCGGCCTCCAGTGATTTTGAAAATCAATGCCACACAGTATGATATTGACATGAAATTAGAGCCAGGAGAGATGAGTGTGCATTGGGGGAGAAATGGAAGGGTTTGTGGAGAAAGTGTGGCTTAGACTGGGGTCTGGAGGATGAGGCCATTAGGGCAAGAGCTAAAAAGGAAGCTAGGTGTCCTCATCAGAGACCATAGCCCAGACGAAGGCAAGAAGGGAGGAAGCGGTGGGGCAGATCTGGGGGCAGGGAGAGGGCAGGATTAGCCAAGGACAGGTGTGCAGGGGAGCAGTGGAGAGACAACCTGGACATGGAAGGCTTTAAACCTGACCCTCCACAGTAGGGGGCCATTGGCAGATGCTGAGCAGGTGAGTGGCAGGACCAGAGAGTGATGTGTGTTGGAAGGATGGGTGGGAGGGGCATCAGCAGCTGATACAATTATCTAGAAGATGAGTAGGGACTCCAGAGGACAGTGGAGTCACTTGCAAGGTGACATGCAGTGAGGAGGGACATAGCCTCCACTGGACATGCCTCCCTGGGTTCCTGTCCTCTCCACTGTGGGGCTTTGGGAAAGAGGCTGGCCTGTCCAGGAGCCTTAGTTTCCAAAGAGAAAGGGTGGGTTGTGGTAGGGGTTGAATGAGATGGTGTTTGTGTGGTTCCTAGCGCAGTGGCTGGCCGCCCAGAGGCTTCTTGGAGCCAGGGTTGCTGTCACTTTGCTCCTCCATCACTGCCCTTCTCTCTCCACAGCCAGGAAAACTCCACACTCTATGTCAGTTTCACCCCTAAAGGTCCCAAGATCCACCAAGTCAAGCACATCTACCAGGTATGAACCCAAACGTGGGAGGTCCTTATAGGTCACACATTCATTCCTTATCCTGGAGACTGAGGATGCAGGCACCAAGCAGACACAGTCCTGGACGTCGCTGTCCACCTGTTCAATAACCCTTTCTCCAGAGCTTCACGGCCTCCAGGCTGCCAGCAGCCGCATATGCTAACTCCTTTCTGCCACTGGATACATTATTTCGAGAGTCACAGGACTTGAGAGCAAAGAGGACTCTGAGAGAGAACATGCTTTTTCATTCAGACACTGAATGAGCTACTATTCTTTGCTCTGTTACACAGGCGTGAGGGCAGTGGCGTGATCTCGGCTCACTGCAACCTCTGCCTCCCAGGCTTAAGCAATTCTTCTGCCTCAGCCTCCCAAGCAGCTGAGATTACAGGCATCTGCCACCACGCCCAGCTAATTTTTGTATTTTTAGTAGAGACGGAGTTTTACCATGTTGGCCAGGCTGGTCTCAAACTCCTGACTTCAAGTGATCCCCCCACCTTGGCCTCCCAAAAAGTGCTGGGACTACACCTGTGAGCCACCGTGCCCAGCCTATACTAAATTAGGTATTTAGCTAGGTGCTGGCACCCTGCCCAGTCTTCAAACCAAGGTTCTGTGCCTACTGCTTTATTTTTATTTTTACCTTTTTTTCTTTCTTTTTTTGAGACAGGGTCTCATTTTGTCACCCAGGCTGGAATACAGTGGCATGAACATGGCTCACTGCAGCCTCAACCCCCTGGGCTCAGGCAATCCTCCCACCTCAGCCCCCCAAGGAGCTGGGACTACAGGCACACATCGCCATGCCCAGCTAATTTTTGTATTTTTTTGTAGACACAGGGTTTTGCCACATTGCCCAGGCAGGCCTGGCGCTTTGTACATGCAATGCCCTATAATTCTCACACCCACCTGTGAGATCCTATAAGATAGGTACTGTTGCCGGGCGCGGTGGCTCAAGCCTGTAATCCCAGCACTTTGGGAGGCCGAGGCGGGTGGATCACGAGGTTGAGAGATCGAGACCATCCTGGTCAACATGGTGAAACCCCATCTCTACTAAAAATACAAAAAACTAGCTGGGCTTGGTGGCACGTGCCTGTAATCCCAGCTACTCAGGAGGCTGAGGCAGGAGAATTGCCTGAGCCCAGGAGGTGGAGGTTGCGGTGAGCCGAGATTGTGCCATTGCACTCCAGCCTGGGTAACAAGAGCGAAAACTCCGTCTCAGAAAAAAAAAAAAAAAAAAAAAAAAAAAAAGATAGGTACTGTTATTCTTTTTTTTTTTTTTTTTTTTTTTTTTTTGATGTGGACTTTCACTCTTGTTGCCTAGGCTGGAGCACAGTGGCACGGTCTCAGCTCACTGAAAACTCCACCTCCTGAGTTCAAGCGATTCTCCTGCCTCAGCCTCCTGAGTAGCTGGGATTACAGGCGCCTGCCACCACACCTGGCTAATTTTTGTATTTTTAGTAGAGATGGGATTTCACCATGTTAGCCAGGCTGGTCTCAAACTCCTAACCTCAGGTGATCTGCCTGTCTTCACCTCCCAAAGTGCTGGGAATACAGGCGTGAGCCACCGATCCTGACCTGGTACTGTTATTCTTATAGACGGAGAAACTTGCAGCACAGATAAGCCACACAGCTCACAGGGGGAAGTCAGCCTCCTGCATGTTCTTGAATATCGAAGTCCATGATTTTAATCTCTGAGTTAATGATCTTCTGTTTCTAATGCAATGTGCTGTGACTCTGATCTTTAATACAGGGGATAGGGGGACTTAGAGGAGGAAGGCTGCCCCTCGAGGCTGAGGCTTCCCTACAGGGAACCTCTGAGGAAGGAGCAGGCATTGACCAAGCCAAGAGCGTTTTCAGCAGTGGCCCATGCGTGTCATCTCAGCACGTCGGGAGGCTGAGGACGGAGGATGGCTTGAGGCCAGGAGTTGAAGACCAGCCTAGGCAACATACCAAGACCTGGTATCTACAAACAAATAAAAAATACGAAACCTTAGCTGGGCATGGTGACCTGCACCTGTAGTCCTATTTACTCAGAAGGCTGACGTGGGAGGATCACTTGAACCCAGGAGTTCCAGGCTGCAGTGAGCTATGATGGCACCACTGTCTCCAACCTGGGTGACAGAGCAAGACTGTCTCTGTTTTTAAAAAACAAAACTGTTAACAACTGTCATTCCAGCACTTTGGGAGGTTGAGGCAGGAGAATCACTTGAGCCCAGGAGTTCAAGACCAGACTGGACAACATAGTGAGACCCTCTCTCTAAAAAAAAAAAAAAAAATTTAAAAATTAGCTGGGCACAGTGGTAATCACCTGTAGTCCCAGCTACTCAGAAGGCTGAGGTGGAAGGATGGCTGGAGCCCAGGAGTTTGAGGCTGCAGTGAGCTGTGATCTGCCACTGTAGTCCAGCGTGGGTGACAAAGAGCAAGACCCTGTCTAAAAAAAAAAAAAAAAAAAAAAAAAAAAAAAAAAGGCATTTTCCTATAGTCTAGTATAGCGTAGTGCATTGTAGTATGTAGAGGTTGTAGGGGTGTAGCATAGCTTAGCATGGTATGTCAGAGTATAACTTAGGAGTACAGTTGCTCCTCTTGAAGCTTTGGTCTCATTATATTCCTTTTCTTTCTTTCTTTAGTGTTTTGTTTTGTTTTGTTTTGTTTTTTGAGATGGAATCTGGCTCTGTCACCCAGGCTGGAGTGCAGTAGCATGCTCTCAGCTCACTGCAACCTCTCCCTCTGGGTTTGATGGATTCTCCTGCCTCAGCCTCCCAAGTAGTTGGGATTACAGGTGCCCACCACCATGCCCAACTAATTTTTGTATTTTAGTAGAGACGGGGTTCACCATGTTGGCCAGGCTGGTCTTGAACTCCTGACCTCAGCTGATCCACCCACCTCGGCCTCCCAAAGTGCTGGGATTACAAGCGTGAGCCATTGCACCCAGCCTGGTCGCAACATATTCGAAACCAAATTTGCAGTCTTCCCCTAAGCCAGCATCTCCTCTGGCTTGTGTGGAATCTTTTGGAAGGCACCATCTCTTCCTCAAGCAAAACTTACGAGTCTGCGTGAATTTCTCCTTCCTCCTGCCTTGTCCTGCTGCCTCCCGGAGTCTGGTTCTCTGCTTCCCTTTTCTGCTACTGCCCAGACCCAGTTGCTCGCCTTCTTGCAACTGGAGTGTTGAGACAGACTCGCGACATGGGCCATGACCCGCCTCTCCCAGCCTCTTTCCAGCCCATGCCTGCAGGGGATAGACCTCCCTGGGGCCACTCTCTTCCTCTGCCACCTGTGTCTTCCCACTGCCTCCTTGATGCTGCCCCAACTCCTCACTCTCAAGCCTTCTGGGCCTCATAGTCTGATCCTGGACTTCCTTTCCAGCCTTAGCTCCTGTTCTCCATCCCAGGAACCCTCCTTCCAGCCACATCCCTCTCACCTGGTGCCATCCTGGCTCCCTGCATGTCTCTTCCTGGATGCCCTCTCCCATCTTCATCTGTTAAAATCCTATCCATCTGGCTAGGCAGGGTGACTCATACCTGTAATCCCAGCACTTTGGGAGGCCCAGACAGGCAGACCACTTGAGTTCAGGAGCTCAAGACCAGCCTGGCCAACATGGTGAAACCCCAACTCTACTAAGAATACAAAAATTAGCTAGGTGTGGTGGTGCATGCCTGTAATCCCAGCTATTGGGGAGGCTGAGGCAGGAGAATCTCTTGAACCTGGGAGGCGGAGGTTGCAGTGAGCTGAGATCCCGCCACTGCACTCCAGCCTGGGTGACAGTGACACTCTGTCTCAAAAAAACAAACAAACAAAAAATCCTGTCCATCTTTCACAGTCAAATTCAAATGCTTCCCCTGCTATTTGGCCTTTTTAATTTAACTGATATTTCAAGTGTCCATGAATGTTTGTTGAATTAATAAATGGTAGAATCCTTCTAATTTGATACACATTGCTCTGCTTCCTGAGACATTGTTAGTGCCACTCCTGTGTCACTTCCTTATACATATCTGGATCTCCCAGACTTAGCACAGATAGCTCTTTTTCTAATAAAAGGTGCTTAGGAAAAAAAAAAAAAGTTTTTTAACACGAAGTCTCGACCTGTCGCCCCAGCTGCAGGGTAGTGGTGTGACCTCGGCTCACTGTAACCTTCTCCTGCCTCAGTGATTCTCCCGCCTCAGCCTCCAGAGTAGCCAGGATTATAGGCATACACCACCACACCTGGCTAATTTTTGTATTTTTCTTAGAGTCAGGATGTCACCATGTTGGCCAGGCTGGTCTCGAACTCCTGACCTCAAAGGCTCCTCCCACCTAGGCCTTCCAAAGTGCTGCGATTACAGGTGTGAGCCACCACACTAGGCACGGCATCAGGCAGTGGGAGATTGGAGGTGGAGTAAGAATGGCTCCTGTCCTCAGGGAGCTCCCGGTCTAGGGGAGATGCAGACACCCAAGCGGATCCCTCGCCATCCTGCTGGGGACACAGAGTGCACTGTAGGAGTCCAGGAGGGGGAGTTGCCCTGTCCTTGGGAAGTCAGCAAAGCCTTTGGATATAATATTGAGCAGGCTCTTACGGGGTATGTGAGGACATGCGGGGTGGAGAAAGCTGGAGGGGCATGGAAGCCACACTGCAAGGCCCTGAGGACGGAAGCTGGCTGCACCCAGTCACTGCACACTGCCTAACTAACAAGGTCCTGGGGACTCAGCCGATGAGGACTGGAAGAGGCGTGCAAGGGCACATGGGGTCCGGGTGGCAGCTGAGGTGGCTGGCATTCAGGTCTCATCCCTTATCCTCTGTGCCAGGTGAGGATCCAGCCTTCCATCCATGACCGAAACCTGCCCACCCTGGAGGCTGTGATTGGGGTGCCACAGCCTCCCAGCGAGGGGCCCGTCACACACCAGTGGAGCGTGCAGATGGTAAGTGCTGCCTAGAAAGGGAGGGGCTGCCCTCCCCAGGTCTGAGGGGGGTGAGTACATGCCAGAGGACAGAGGGCAGAGCTTGACCAGAGGTGGCGGCTCACACCTCCCAAATCCCAGCACTTTGGGAGGCCAAAGTGGGAGAATTGATTGAGGCCAGGATTTTGAAACCAGCCTGGGCAGCATAACAAGACCCCAGTCTCTACGAACAAATTTTAAAATTAGCCAGGCATGCATGGTGGCACATGCCTGTGATCCCAGCTACTAGGGAGACTGAGGTGGGAGGATCACTTGAGCCCAGCAGTTTGAGGCTGCAGTGAGCTATGATCATGCCACTGAACTCCAGCCTGGGCGACAGAACATGACTCTGTCTCTACCAACAACAACAACAAAATGAAGGGGGCAAGGCTGGGTGTGTGTGGAGTGAGGATGCATGAATCTGGATCCTGCCAGACTCAGAGATGTCTGAGCTCACCCAGGGCCAGGGCCAGGGCCGGGGCAGGAGAAAGCTGGGATGCCAGGTCTTCTCTGGGCTCGGGAGGTGCTAACTGAAGACCTGCCTCTCATTCCTAGGAACCTCCTGCGCCCTGCCACTATGAGGAGCTGGAGAGGCTGCCCCGAGCAACTGAGGTATGGACATAGGAGCTGAGAGATGGTGGTCCGGGCGGCACGCGGTGGGAATGAGGCTGCCCTGATCTCGCTTTCCTCCTCTTCAGCCTTGTCTCCCCGGAGCCCTGTTCCGCTGCCCTGTTGCCTTCAAGCAGGAGATCCTCGTCCAAGTGATCGGGACCCTGGAGCTGGTGGGAGAGATCGAGGTAGCCCCTGCTCCTAACAGACACAGAGCAGCCATGGGGGCCCCAGTGCCCAGGGCCATGGGAGGTGGGCTCCCACCTGTCTGCCTCCATTTTTCTTTTCCACCTTGATGAAAAATCTCCCGTTTACACAGTCACAGGTGAAAGAGAACTATGATTTGTGTGAAATTTGCAATGCTATTTCCATGGGCCTATTGATAGTTCTTATGTGTTTTTTATAGAAAAGCTTTCCTTCCAACAACAGGAGTGACATATTAGAGTGCCACAGTAGATGCTGGGGCAGGCCTCACACCTGTAATCCCAGCACTTCAGGAGGCCAAGGTGGGCGGATTACTTGAGGTTGGGAGTTCGAGATCAGCCTGGCCAGCATGGTGAAACCCCATCTCTACTAAAAATACAAAAGTTTAGCTGGGCGTGGTGGTGGGCAGCTGTAATCCCAGCTACCTTGGAGGCTGAGGCATGATAATCCCTTGAACCCAAGAGGCAGAGGTTGCCGTGAGCCAAGATCATGCCACTGCACTCCAGCCTGGGTAACGGAGCCAGACGCCATCTCAAAAAAAGAAAAGAATGCCTGGGTTTAGAAGGGGTTAAAATTAAAAGAAAAAAAGAAAAAAATGCCACAACAGAGAGCTGAGTAGAGCTGGGTGCAGCCCCCGGGACCCCTTCTCTGCTCCTCCCCATTGTGTTGTGGTGGGGGCAGAAGCCAGCGGGTTCTGTCCTTGTTCTTCTGGGTTCTGACACCTTTCCCCACTCCCGCAGGCCTCCTCCACGTTCAGCCTCTGCAGCTCCCTCTCCATCTCCTTCAACAGCAGCAGGCATTTCCACCTGTATGGCAGCAATGCCTCCCTGGCCCAGGTATTTCCACCTCCCCGGAAGCCCTAGGAATAGGCAACAAAGGGATCCCAGGAGCCCCGGGGCAGACCCAGATGTGGGAGAGCCTCCTGGGCTCTGTTCGAGTCAGAACTTGCTAACCGCCAGAGCCATCAGCCTGGGGGAAGCTTCCTCTCCCTTTGGTGGGCACACGACCCCAAAGTTGCCTGTCTGAGATATGGTAGACTTACATGTGGAGTAAAGATCAATTGAGGCCGGGCACGGTGGCTCATGCCTGTAATCCCAGCACTTTGAGAGGCTAAGGCAGGCAGATCATGTGAAGTCAGGAGTTCAAGACCAGCTTGGCCAACATGGTGAAACCCGTCTCTACAAAAATACAAAAATTAGCTGGGCATGATGACAGGTGCCTCTAAGCCCAGCTACTTGGGAGGCTGAGGCAAGAGAATCACTGGAACCCAGGAGGCAGAGGCTGCAGTGAGCCGAGATCCTACCATTGCACTCCAGCCTGGGTGACAGAGTGAGATTCCATCTAAAAAAAAAAAAAATCAGAGGCAGACGTGGTGGTTCACACCTGTACTCATAGCACCTCAGGTGGCTAAGATGGGAGGATTGTTTGAGCCTAGGAGTTCAAGACTGCAGTGAGCTATGGTTATCCCACTGTACTCCAGCCTGGGTGACAGGGAAAGACCCTATCTCAAAAAAATAAAAAGAATCAATCTGATGGCAACTTAGCAAAGAAACTAGCAAGTCAAGTGTCAGACAGTGAAGAGAGGGCACTCTAAGCAGAGGCAGCAGCAACTGCAGAGGCCTCCGTGGTGAGCGTGGGCAGGGCAGCCTGAAGGTCAGTACGGCTGGCAGCAGAGGGGAGGAGGGAAGACGCATCCGACAGGTAAGCAGAAGCCAGATTCTGGACGGCTTTGAATGCTGAGCCACATGCGATTCCAGGGAAGCCACTGAAGGCCTAGGGATGCCTAAGGTGTGTGTTGGCCAAGTCACAGCAGTGACTGTAACAGGTGACACGTTGAGGGGAGAGGGTCTGCAGCTGGGGACTCCAGGTGGGTGATGCAGTCGGATAGGAGGGGACGGGGAATGGGACCAGGTTCACAGGGACTTCGAGGGGTGGGAAGGGCATCTTCCAGCATTCCCCTCCCCCTCCCCCCAGGTCGTCATGAAGGTTGAGGTCGTGTATGAGAAGCAGATGCTCTACCTCTACGTGCTGAGCGGCATCGGGGGGCTGCTGCTGCTGCTGCTGATTTTCATAGTGCTGTACAAGGTGGGTACCTCCAGAGTCACGGGCATTGCTGAGACAGCCAGGTGGGGAAAGGGGCCCTGGTGGGAGCCAGGGATGAGAATACCAAGCCAAGGAGCTTTAGAGCCAGGAGGCCTTAGCCTACTCCCTCCTTCAACAGAGAAGGCTACTGAGGTCCAAAGAACAAGTGAGGGCCAGGCGCCATGGCTCATACCTGTAGTTCCAGCACTTTGGAGGCCAAGGTAGGCAGATCACTGAGCCCAGGAGTTCAAGACCAGCCTGGGCAACATGGCAAGCATCTGCCTCTACAAAAAAATTTTTAAATTAGCAGGATGTGATGCCACCTACCTGTAGTCCCAGCTACTCAGGAGGCTCAGGTGGGAAGATCCCTTGAGCTCTGCAGGTCCAGGCTGCAGTGAGCCACGATGTTGCCACTGTGCTCCAGCCTGGGTGACAGAGCGAGAACCCGTCTCTCTCTCTCTCTCTCTCTCTCTCTCTCACACACACACACACACACACACACACACACACACACACACAGAGCAAGAGAGGCTTTTCTACCATCATTTAGACCATCCCTGGCAGAGCCAGGACGAGGCATCCTGGGAGAGGAAAAGGAAGTGCCCCACATATGGAGGTCTTCCTGGCTGCGGGGCACTGTCCCAAGCACTGGGACACAGAGGTGCATGCCACAAACATGCTCCCTGCCATTATGGTGCTCACAGTCTAAGGGGGGACACAGGCAGCAGCAAGCAGAATTAGGGCTGCAAAGGGCCTGTGTTCCCTGGGACCTAGAGTCCAGGCGCCTCACTTAGGCTGAGGGAGGCCCAGCAGGCCTCCCAGGAGAGGTGGCATTTGAGATGGGATTTGAAGCCTGAGTAGAAGTTACAGATGAAGGCTGGGTACCATGGCTCACGCACGTAATCCCAGCACTTTGGGAGGCTGAGGCAGGCGGGTTACTTGAGTTCGGCAGTTCAAGATCACCCTGGCCAACATGGTAAAACCCCATCTCTACTAAAAATATAAAAATTAGGCCGGGCACGGTGGCTTATGCCTGAAATCCTAGCACTTCGGGAAGCCAAGGCGGGCGGATCACAAGGTCAAGAGATCCAGACCATCCTGGCCAACATGGTTAAACCCTGTTTCTACTAAAAATACAAAAATTAGCTGGGCGTGGTGGCATGCGCCTGTAGTCCCAGCTACTTGGGAGGCTGAGGCAGAAGAATTGCTTGAACCCGGGAGGCAGAGGTTGCTGTGAGCTGAGATCACGCCACTGCACTCCAGCCCAGGCAATAGATTGAGACTCCATCTCAAAAAAAAAAAAAAAAAAAAAAAGGAAAAAAGACATTATAGATGAAGAGTATTGGAGGGCAGATACTCCATCTAGAAAAACTCAAAGGTAGCAGAAAGGATAACACAACAAAGCAAAGGTTCTCTCTCTTGCACTCCCAGAGGGTTGTCATTAACAACATTTTGTTTATATTCCTCCAGGTGCTAATCTTATTGTTAATATTCATGTGTAAATGTGGGCATGAGGTGGCTCACATCTATAGTCCCAGCACTTTGGGAGGCCAAGGTGATAGGATGGCTTGAGGCCAGGAGTTCAAGACCAGCTTGGGCAACATAAGAAGAACCATCTCTACAAAAATAAATGCATCAGCTGGGCATGGGTGGTACATGCCTGTAGTTCACGATACTTGGGAGAAAGAGGGGGAAGATCGCGTGAGCCCAGGAGTTCGAGGCTGCAGTGAGCTATGATTGCACCGCTGCACTTCAGCCTGAGCGACAGAGATAGACCTCGTCTTTAAAAGTAAATTTAAGCCGGGCATGGTGGCACATGCCTGTAGTCCCAGCTACTCGGGAGGCTGAGGCTGGAAGATCACTTGAGCCCAGGAGTTCAGGGCTGTAGTGCGCTATGCCAATTGGGTGTCCACACTAAGTTCGGCATCAACATGGTGACCTCCTGGGAGCGAGGGACCACCAGGTTGCCGTGAGCCAAGATTACACCACTGCACTCCAGCCTGGGCCACAGAGCGAGACTCTGTCTCAAAATAATAATAACAATAATAACAATGAAAATATATAGAGAGACAAGAACCAAGCACAGTAGATGCCCCCCTACCCCATCCCCGGAGCAAACACCATGTGCCTGCGGAACCCTTGACTTATAAACATAAAAAGTATTCTCTGCTGGGTTCAGGGACCCACGCCTATAATCCCAGCACTTTGGGAGGCCAAGGCAGGTGGATTGCTTGAGGTCAGGAGTTCAAGACAAGTCTGGCCAACATGGTGAAACCCTGTCTGTACTAAAAATACAAAAATTAGCTGAGCGTGGTGGCAGACGCCTGTAATCCCAGCTACTTGGGAGGCTGAGGCAGGAGAATTGCTTGAGCCTGGGAGGCAGAGGTTGCAATGAGCCGAGAGCATGCCACTGCACTCCAGCCTGGGTGACAGAGCGAGACTCTGTCTCATAAAAAGAACACATACCCACATACACACACACAAAGCGTTCTTACATTTTCCTGGGGCCGAAATGCTCAGTGAAGTTTTTGCTCACTCAAATTTTGTGTTCATACAGGTTGGCTTCTTCAAACGGAACCTGAAGGAGATGATGGAGGCTGATGGAGGTGTACCAAATAGAATCCCTGCAGAAGACTCCAGGCAGCTGGCGTCCGAGGAAGAGGCCGGGGATCCAGGCTGCCTGAAGAACTTCCACGAAGAGGACACAGAGAGTGACAGCGGCAAGGACTGAGTCCAGGCCTGTGATGCGCAGAGGGTCCGGGACTGGACTCCGGACGCCCAGGGCCACTCTGCCTCTGCCTGCATTCCGCTGTGTGCCCCCGGGGGAGTCACTGTCCCTCACTGGGCCTCAGTTTCCCTATCTTGAACATGGGGCTCATGCCTGCCTGCCTCCTTTGCAGGCTCTTAGGGTGGACCTGCTGAGGGACTGGCCAGGAGGGCTGCAGAAGTGAGGACTTGTCATGACCAGACAGTCCTGGCTTCCACCAGCCTCTCTTGGTTCCTCTCCCTGGAAGAGAACATCTGCTCTAAATGTGGAGAAACTATAGTCTCAGGACCTAGGGACATTCCTGACCCTCACACCTTCCCTGGGAGGTCCACAGATGCCTCTACCCCCGAGAAACTGTCCCTGCGTGCTCCCCTGCACTGGAGCCCAGTCTCTTCTGCTGGCAGAAAGCAAATGTGACCCGTGTCATTGCATGACTGTGGCACACGCCTTGCTCCTGGCCAAAGACCAAATTCCTTGACATGCCTTCCAGCACCTTGCAAAATGAGACCCCTGCAGCCTTCCCCAGCCTCTTCCAGAGCTGTGCCGCCTCCCCGTCGAAGCTCCAGTGATACCAGCCTTTCTCTCAGGCCAGGCTCCTTCCTGTCTACCTGCGTTCATCCTGACAGCTCCCTCTGCCCAAACCTTCCCCCCTGCCACCCCTCCTTCTTTGGCCGGCAGATCCCAGCTCACACATGAGACTCGGTTGGGTTCCCAGGTCCTTCACACTTCCACCAGCCTGCACTTATCCCTCAAAGCACAGGTCATGTTTTTTCCCTGTTTAATGATTTACCTACTTAGCAGCTATCTCTCAGTGAACTCTGTGACGGTAGAGGCCATACTTGTCTTGTTCACCTTGGGATGCCTGCTGATATGTCAGGGCATGCAACATTTAGTAGGTGCTTGACACAATTTCACTGAATTAATGATGGAGCCTGTGGGAAGATATAGAAAAAGGGGCTGGGCTGGGCGCAGTGGCTCATATTTGTAATCCCAGCACCTTGGGAGGCCAAGGCAGGTGAATCACCTGAGGTCAGGAGTAAGTTTAAGACCAGCGTGGCCAACATGGTGAAACCCCATCTCTACTAAAAATACAAAAATAAGCCGGGTGCAGTGGATCATGCCTGTAATACCAGTACTTTGGGAGGCCAAGGCAGGAAGATCACAAGATCACACGTTCAAGACCAGCCTGGCCAACATGGTGAAACCCCATCTCTACTAAAAATACAAAAATTAAGTGTGGGTGGCGCTCGCCTGTAGTCCCAGCTACTTAGGAGGCTGTGGCACAAGAGTCGATGGAACCCAGGAGGTGGAGGTAGCAGTGAGCCAAGATTGCAACAGAGTGAGACTCTGTCTCAAAATAATAATAAAAAAAAAAAAGGCTGGGCATGGTGGTATGCGCCTATAGTCCCAGCTACTTAGGAGGCTGAGGTGGGAGAATTGCTTGAACCTGGGAGGCAGTGGTTGCAGTAAGCCAAGATTGCACCACTGCACTCCAGCCTAGGTGACAGAACAAGATTCCGTCTCAAGAAAAAAAAAAAAAGGCGGAGATGGGCCCATGGCCTCCCTACCCTTGGAGGCTCTGTCTCCCCAGGCTCTGCCCCTGCACTGGCTCCACACCCTCTCCCAGGACCCATCACACCTGTGCAGTGGCCGCCACAGAAAGGCTGAGCTCAAGGTGGGGGCCACGTTTGCTCACTCGGAGCCCAGTGCCGAGCACAGTGCCTGCACGTATTTACCCAATAAATAAATTCTGCCCAATTTTGTGATGTTTTTGTGTGGTGCAATATTGCAGCCCTGCTTAATTAAGTGAACATTTCTGGCTGGGCCCTGTGGCTCACACCTGTATGCCCAGCACTTTGGGAAACCAAGGCAGGAGGATCCTTTGAGGCCAGGAGTTTGAGACCAACCTGGGCAACATAGCAAAACTCTGTCTCTACAAAAAATTAAAATATAAAACTTAGACAAGGCTGATTGAACATACCTGTAGTCCCAGCTACTCAGGAGGCTGAGACAAAAGGATCATGGGAGCCCAAGAGGTCAAGGCTGCAGTGAGCTATGGTCACATCACTTCACTCCAGTCTGGGCCACAAAGCAAGACACTGCCTCCAAAATTTAAAAAAAGCCCAGGCATAGTGGCTCGCGCCTGTATAATCTCAGCACTTTGGGAGGCCTAGGTGGTTGGATCACCTGAGGTCAGGAGTTTGAGACCAGCCTGGACAACATGGTGAAACCCCATCTCTATTAAAAATACAAAAAAATTAGCTGGGTATGGTGGTGGGCAACTGTAGTCCCAGCTATTTGAGAGTCTGAGGCAGGAGAATCGCTTGAACCCAGGAGGTGGAGGTTGAAGTGGGCCAAGATCGTGCCATTGCACTCCAGTGTGGGTGACAAGAGCAAGACTCTGTCTTTAAAAAAAGAAAAAAAAAATGACGCCGGGCGTGGTGGCTGAAGCCTGTAATCCCAGCACTTTGGGAGGCCGAGGCGGGTGGATCACGAGGTCAAGAGATTGAGACCATCCTGGTCAACATGGTGAAACCCCATCTCTACTAAAATACAAAAAATTAGCTGGGCATGGTGGCGCATGCTTATAATCCCAGCTACTCAGGAGGCTGAGGCAAGAGAATTGCCTGAACCTAGGAGGCGGAGGTTGCGGTGAGCCGAGATCGTGCCATTGTACTCCAGCCTGGGCAACAGAGCAAGACTCCATTTCAAAAAAAAAAGATGGTCCCACTACATTGTTCAAGCTGGGCTCAAGTGATCCCAGCCTTCCAAAGTGCTGGGATTACAGGCATGAGCGACGTTGCCTGGCTTGGGTGTTCCTGTTTTTCATTTGTCTCCATTTTAACGTATATTTTGATAGATATGGACAGCTGTAATCCGTGTAAACAAAAGGTTTTTGGGAATCATATATAAAGAGAGACAGGGTCTTGCTTTGTCGCCCAGGCTGGAGTGCAGTGGTGATATCTTGGCTCACTGCAACCTCCATCTCTTGGGTTCAAGCCATTCTCCTGCCTCAGTCTCCTGGGTAGCTGGGATTACAGGCACATGCCACCATGCCCAGCTAGTTTTTGTATGTTTAGTAGAGACAGGGTTTCACCACGTTGGTCAGGCTGGTCTTGAACTCCTGACCTCAAATGAATCCAGAACAGGGCCTGACATAAAGCACTCAAGAAACACTGGGTGAGTGACTAGAGACTGACTTATGTTTCTGATATCTACCAATACTTTTATGTGCTTAAAACCTTTTTTTTCTTTCCTTTCTTGCATTGGAATAAAATTTTTTATTTGTTTTTATTTATTTTTTGAGACTGTGTCTCACTCTGTCACCCAGTCTGGAGTGCATTGGCGCAATCTCAGCTCACTGCAACCTCCGCTCCCCTCCATCCCCACGCAGGTAGGTCTCCCTACCTCGTGATCCACCTGCCTTGGCCTCCCAAAGTTCTGGGATTACAGGCATGAGCCACCGTGCCCGGCCATGGGACCTTGTCTCTAAAAAATAAAACAAGACAAATAACCCAGCTATATATGCTTCAGAGCTGTTGTGAGCATTGAGCATTGAGTGAGCAGCACCTGTAAACTGCTGCGCACTGTCGTAGCACTAAGCACTTGATAGTGGTAGTGGAGAGAAATGGTTTATGTGTGCAGGTGGTAGAGTGGAAAGCGTCATGCTGGACTCAGGTCAAGAGACGGCTGTGCAGGTGCAACCCTCCCACTAGCTTGCCACGTGAGCTTGGGGGAGACACATGCCCTCTTGGGGTTAGGTCCACACCACCTGGGTGGAGATGGAGGTGCCTCTGGAGCTGTCATGGCAGACGGGGTGGGTCCAAGCAGTTAAGCCCCACCCTTATTTGCCCTGGTTTTGTATACATGGGTACAGACCACATTATCAATTAAGCACCCTAGGCACTGTGCCCAGGGCCTCCCATCCTCTAAGGGCCTACAAACGTGTTTAGAAGCTGAAAAAAGTCAACTCCAAAATGTGAAAACCAAATAGATTGAGTTAGGTGTGATGCTAAAAATTGACAAAAATAAATATAAATACTAAAAAAAAAAAAAGAAAGAAAATTTGGCTGGGCGTGGTGGCTCATGCTTGTAATCCCAACATTTTGGGAGGCCGAGGCGGGCAGATCATATGAGGTCAGGAGTTTCAGACCAGCCTGGCCAACGTGGCGAAACCCTGTCTCTACTTAAGGTACAAAAATTACCTGTATGTGGTGATGCACACCTGTAGTCCCAGCTACTCCAGAGGCTGAGGCAGGAGAATCTCTTGAACCCGGGAGGTAGAGGTTGCAGTGAGCTGAGATGGCACAACTGCGTTCCAGCCTAGACAAGAGCTAAACTCCATCTTTAAAAAAAAAAAAAAATAAATAAATAAATATATATATATTTTAAAAAATAAATATATATATGTGTGTGTATATATATATGTATATATATATATATATATATATATATATATATATATATATATACACACACATAAAATAGCTGAGTGATTTCCCAAGGTGTGGCCGGTCCTCTTCATCTAAGGTCACAACTGGCCACACTCCACAACCCCCCAGACTCATCCATGGCACTAACTCTCCATCCATTCTGAGGGGTTAGGAAGGCCGAAGCTTGACTGGGAAAGGAAAGCAAGGTAAAGGGGGCGGAAGGGGCAGGTGGGCCCACCAATAGGTACGGGGCCCTAAAAAGGTATAAGAGCCACTGCAATCAGACTGGCATGGTGGGAGGGCTTAGGGGCCAGAGCAGTTGTCCAGTCCTCACACCTGATCAAATATGTACCCCGCTGTGGGGGTGGGGTTGGAACTGCAGACACCTGCTGTGGCTCTGCACAGGGTGGTGGCTAGAGTTCCGGTTGTGAGACAGGGAGGGTGGGCAGCCGGGTGCCGGGAGCTAGGGAAAGATGGAAAACAGGCTCTAGGCCAGGGTCTGTTTTCTGGCCCAAGGACAGACCCTCTGTTTAGGAAGCAGGATCTCCGCAAAGTTGAGGGCTTGGCTTCTGCATTCCTCCCACATCGGACCCACTCGGTTTGTCCAGCATTCAAAGCATGGGACATGAACTTGGGCAGATGCGAGTGAATTACGTCTTCTGAGCCACAGATTATAAGATTACAGTACAACACTGACTATAAAAGCACTACCAAGCCAGATGCAGTGACTCTCACCTGTAATCCTAGCACTTTGGGAGGCTGGGGGAGTGGGGGGTGGGGATCACCTGAGGTCAGGAGTTTGAGAGCAGCCTGACCAACATGGTGAAACTCCATCTCTACCAAAAATACAAAATTAGCCAGGCATGGTGGCACAACCTTGTAATCCCAGCTACTCAAGAGGCTGAGGCAGGAGAATCACTTGAACCCGGGAGGCGGAAGTTGCAGCGAGCTGAGATCCCACCAATGCACTCCAGCCTGGGCAACAAGAGCAAAACTGTCTCAAAAAATTTAAAAAATAAAATAAAAGCACTTCCAGGTGGCCAACACACTCACAGTCCCAGCTTCTCTGGAAGCTGAGGCAGGGAGATCACTTGAGCCCAGGAGTTCTGGGCTGCCATGAGCCATGCCGGGTGTCTGCACTAAGTTCAGCAGCAATATGGTGACCTCCTGGGAGTGAGGGGCCACCAGGTTCCCTGAGGAGGAGTAAACAATCCTAGGTGGGAAACAGAGCAGGTCAAAACTCCCATACAAGACTGCATCTGTGAATAGCCACTGCACTTCAGCCTGAGTGGAACAGCAAGACTTCATTCCTAAAAACTTTTTTTTTTTTTTTTGAGATGGAGCCTTACTCTGTCGCCCAGGCTGGAGTATAGTGGTGCAATCTCAGCTCACTGCAACCTCTGCCTCCCTGGTTCAAGCATTTCTCCTGCCTCAGCCTCCTGAGTAGCTGGGGCTACAGGTGCACACCACCACACCTAGCTAATTTTTGTATTTTTAGTAGAGACAGTGCTTCACCATATTGGCCGGAATGGTTTCTATCTCCTGACCTCGTGGTCCACCCATCTCAACCTCCCAAAGTGCTGGGATTACAGGTATGAGCCACTGTGCCCAGCCAAAATTTTTAAAAAGAAAAAAACACTTCCACACCAGGAGTGGCGGCTCACGCCTGTAGTCCCAACACTTTGGAAGACTGAGATGGGCGGATCACTTGAGGCCAGCAGTTCAAGACCGGCCTGGCAAATATAGTAAAACCTCATCTCTACTAAAAATACAAAATTTAGCCAGTGTGTCGTCAGGCACCTGTAATCCCAGCTACTCAGGAGGCTGAGGCAGGACAATTGCTTGAGCCTGGGAGGTGGAGGTTGCTGTAAGCAGTGATCGGGCCACTGCACTCCAGCCTGGGCAACAAAGCAACACTCCCATCTCAAACAGAAAAAAAAAAAAAACACTTACAGCCAGGAGCGGTGGCCTGAGGCAACACAGTGAAACCCTCCCTGTTTTTTTTGTTGTTGTTGTTTTTTAAGGAGTCTCGCTCTTCTGCCCAGCCTGGAGTGCAGTGGTGCGATCTCCGCTCACTGCAACCTCTGCCTCCTGGTTTCAAGCAATTCTCCTGCCTCAGCCTCCCAGGTAGCTGGGATTACAGGCGGCCACCACCACACCAGGCTGATTTTTTTTATTTTTATTTTTAGTAGAGACGGGGTTTCACCATGTTGGCCAGGCCAGTCGAGACCCCCTTTCTAACAGCAGCAGCAGCAAAGCACTTCCTAGATAAGGCCCTGACAGTTCCCAGCTACGACTGGTGTCTCTTGCTGCCCAGGGCACTGTCCACACACACATTTTAAGGACAAGTCTCATTTATCACATAAAGGTTTTTATTGAACTCAAACTCAGGGGCTCCAAAGCCTGAGGAAGACAAAGGAGGCTGGGGTTTGCGGGCAGAGGCCCAGGCCCCACCCCGGGGCCCCACTCCCCACCCCACCTACCCTTTACCCGCTCCTGACTCAAAGAGGGTCTCAGCAGCTACCAATCTAAGCTACCCCATTCTAATTAGGTAACCCCCTACCCTCCCCCCTCCCTGTTCTAGCACGTTGCCAAGCCAGGCACCTACCGAAGAGCCCTGGCTGAGGCCAGCCCTCCACTGACCTCTCTCCATTTCTCTCAGGGCCTCCCTTCAACCCATTTCCCGCCAAGTCTCCAGGGTATGTCACTTCCTCCACCCTGGCCCTCTTCTTCCAGCATCCTCAGCTCCTCCATTCTACTGTGGCTTCTCCATTATCCTCCCTAAAGGTTCCTCTAGCTCCCTGGCCCCTTATCTTCTGCCCATGCCTCCCACTCCTGCTGGGGCCCCAGGTCAGCGCCGGCCCGCCGCGTGGGTCCGCTGGTGGCGGATGAGGTCAGAGCTCTGTGAGAAGGCCTTTCCGCAGTCATCGCACTTGTAGGGCCGCTCGCCGCTGTGGACCCGGTGATGCTGCAGCAGCGTGGAGGAGCGGCAGAAGCCCTTCCCGCACACGGCGCACCTGTAGGGCCGCTCGCCCGTGTGGGAGCGCTGGTGCTGGATGAGCGTGGAAGAGCGATTGAAGGTCTTGCCGCAGTCGGGGCAGCTGTAGGTGCGGCCTGGCAGGTGGGTGCGGGCGTGGATGGCCAGCACCGAGCTCTGGCCAAAGCGCTTGCCGCACTCAGGGCACTTGAAGGGCTTCTCCCGGGCGTGGCTGCGGGCATGGGGGATAAGGGCCGACCGCTGGGAGAAGCTCTTGCCGCAGATGCCACAGCTGAAGGGCCTCTGCCCGGTGTGCACCCTCTGATGGCTACGCAGGGATGAGTTCTGGCTATAGCACTTGCCGCACTCAGTGCAGCTGTAGGGCCGCTCGTGGCTGTGGGTGCGCTGGTGTCGCAGGAGGTAGGAGCTGTCGCCGAAGGCCTTGCCACAATGTGGGCACTTGTAGGGCTTCTGGCCAGAGTGAGTGCGCTGGTGGCGAAGCAAGTAAGAGCTGTCAGCGAAGGCCTTGCCGCAACGGGGACACTTGTAGGGCCGCTCGCCCGTGTGGGTGCGCTGGTGTTTGATGAGGTCAGAGCTCTGAGAGAAGGCCTTGCTGCAGACCTCACATTTGTAGGGCTTCTCACCCGTGTGGATGCGCTGGTGCTGGATCAGGGTGGAGCCCCGCCCGAAGCTCTTTCCGCAGATGCCACAGATGTTAGGCCGAGGGCCCTGCCCCGCCCTGGCCCGGCCACCCCGCCGGCCTGGACCTCGAAGGGCTCCTGAAAGACCCAAGGGATTCTGAAGCATCTCAAATTGTGGTGTAGACAGCAGGGCCCCTGTGGGCATCTCAAAAGGTGGCCCTATGGGCAGGCCCCCGGTGGGCTGCTCCCCAAACCCCTGAGTGAAGGAGTCCAGGGGGTGAACTCCTAAGGAGATATTCAAGGGACTTTTTTCCTCAGGATTCAGAAGCACCTCTTCACCTTCCTGGAATTTGGAACTTTGAGCTTCAAATTCTGGGGTTTGGGTTTTGAACTCAGGGTTCTGGGGTTCATATCTAGAACTCTCAGATTCATAGCCAGGGCTCCGGGGTTCATAGCCAGGGCTCCGGGGTTCATAGCTCGGGCTCTTGGGTTCATAGCCAGGGCTTTGGGGTTCATACCTAGGGCTCTGGGATTCAAACTCAGGGCTCTGAGAATCTGATTCAGGGCTTCTGGGTGCAAACTCAGGGCTTGGGGGCACAAGCGCAGGGCTTCGGGATTCAAAACCCGGGCTTTCAGGCTCAAATCTGGGGCTTTGGGGTTCAAACTCCGGGCTTTGTGGCTCAAACCCAGGGCTCTGGGGTTCAAGTCCAAAAGGTATCTCTTCGACTTCATAGTCCCCAGTGCCTTCTTGCTGAGAAATTTCCTCTTCATTCTCACTCATGTTGCCTGCAGGATCAAAGAATTACAGAAAAATCCAGATGGTGTGGGACCTGGAAGGTCATTTGGTCCCTTAGCAGCCACATACCTCCCCCCTCACAAGCAGCGTCGCTGGCCCCTAGACAGGTGCTGAAATTCCCTTGCCCCCCTCAGCTGACCCAGACACCCCAGTCTCCGGCGCCCCCATCTCCAAGTCCCAGGTGTACTAGCCCCGTGCCCTCGCTCCCTCCCTGGAGCCACAGCCCCTTCTCCTGCACGAAGGTCCACTCCTTGGATGGGCGCTCCCTCCTCACCTCCGAGAGACCCTTCGGGGCTCCTCATTTCGTCAGAACTCTGAACATCCTGGGGCTCCAGGCCCCATGGCGACGCCTCCCGCTCCATCCCCGCGGGCTCCCAGTGCGGCGGCGGCGGCGGCGGCGGCGGCGGCGATGGTGGCCGATCCTGCGACCCGGCCTGGGTTCCCTGAGCCCCGGGCCCCCGACCGCCGCTCGCCCGCTCAGCACTGCCCAGGGGACGCGGCGGCCCAGCCGGGGCCCCCGAGGCCGGACGTCTTGACCCCGGGCCTCTCCCTTGCGCCGGGCCCCTCCCCTGTCCGCGGCCCCGCCCCCTCCCAAGGTCTCGGCTTCCCGGTGGCCCTCACCAGCCCCCGGGCGTCGCGGCCTCTGGGATGAGAGGCTTCGCGACCCGCCCCGCCGCCCCCAGACCCCGCTCCCGTCCGGACCCCCGCCGTCTGGCCCCCGGCCTCGGGCTGGGCAGCGCTGTCCAACGGCCGCCCGGCCCCCCTCCCCCGCACAGGAAGTGTCCGTCCGCGGCCAGGTCCCCCAGCCGGCTCGCTCCGCGGCCTCTCTAGGAGCCGCTGGAGGTGGAAACTCGTTGGCATTAACCCCGGGCGAGAGGGCCCCGGCCTGGGGGTGGGCGAGGACCCGGCGCCCTGGAGCCCGCGGGGCTGCCGGGGCAGTGTGTGTGCCTATGTTCTAGGTCTCCGTCCCTCCAGAGGCCCGTCTGTCCATCTCCCGGGCCCCGCGTCGTCGGTGCGTGTGGCCAAGGGCGAGGCGACAAGCGAGACCAAGGTCAGCGAGAAGAGCGACGCTTCCCGGCGCCAGTGGGGGCGGTGTCTAACTCCCTCCCCGACCGGGCCTCCGGGTCAGCTCCGGGCGCGCCTCGGGAACAGAGATGGACTCCCCTTGGCCTCGCCGAGTCCCTGGGCCTGAGACCCCCTCCTGGAACTCCGCTCCCCACCACCTGCACGCCCACTGCCGTTCCCCCGGCCCCCGCCCCGCTCTGCTCTCCCGATCCCCCTCCTCCCTCCGCGAGGGCTAGGATCGTTGCCAAGGAGACAATCCCGCCCCGGTTCCCAGAGGCACCGCTTCTCCGCCCCAGGAAGCCCGGCGGTTGGCCGATGGGCTCCTGCTCTCTCCGCCCCGCCTCCTGCAACCCTGCGGACGGCGGGGCGCTAATGGTAGCCAGGGAACGCCAGGCGCCTTGCTGATTGGCCGGGGTCGCTCCGGTCGGTCCGCCTTCCCGGTCCGCCAGAAGAGCCTGCAGGAGGTAGTGAGAGAGTGGTGCCTCAGGCGTCTCCCCTCCAGCCGGACCTGTCCCTTCAAAACTTTTCCCGCCCCCACTTACCCTCCATTATGTTTTATGAAAACGAGGAGATACGAGGATAGACACCCATCCCCCTTGTCTGCCCCACACCCCTTGCCTCTCGCCTCCACCTTCCCCAGCGCCTGAGTTTAACTCAGTACTTGGCAGTCTTAGTCCCTAGTTCCCGGATTTCCTCACAGGGAGGCAGGATTCCTTCCAGGTGAGCGTGATACAGAGGAGAAATGGACAGAGAGAACCATCCGGTCTTCGAGGCATCTAACAACGCTCCAGTCTCATATCTGACTCGAATGGAGGCTTGCCGAGGAAGGGAACCTGAGAAACACTGCCTCGGGTGCAGCTTTGAATTGAGAAAGTGAGCCTGGACAGACGACTTAATGTCATCCAGTTCTTGTCTTCTGGCTACCCTTCGTGCTGAAACAAGTTGGGCAGCGTTCTTGACAGTTAATGAGCCTGATGCCCCTGTATGATGCAGCAGCCACGGATCGTGTTTTTCTGTGGCCTACCCAGACAAACGAAAGGAGGAGCCTGGAAGGAAGGATGGCCTCTTCTATTCTCTTGAAAAGGGATAAGAACAAGAACTTGGAGAAGGCAAAGTGGTAAAAAGTGGAGAGCGGCAGGGCGCGGTGGCTCACGCCTGTAATCCCAGCACTTTGGGAGGCCAAGGTGAGTGGATCACTTGAGGTCAGGAGTTCAAGACCAGCCTGACCAACATGGAGAACCCCGTGTCTACTAAAAATACAAAAATTAGCCAGGTGTGGTAGCACATGTCTGTAATCCCAGCTACTTGTGAAGCAGGAGAATCACTTGAATCTGGGAGGTGGAGGTTGTGGTGAGCCAAGAGCACCATTACACTCCAGCCTGGGCAACAAGAGCGAAACTTCGTCTCAAAAAAAGAAAAGAAAAAAGAAATAAAGGCGTACAAATAAAATGACAAGAGCTCATCCCACAAATGAAGTGGGGCGGGAGAGAACTTTCTGCCCTCCGGAGGAACAGCTTCCAGCTCCATAGCTGTCTCCCATCCCAATGTCTGTTTGTCCTAAAACCTTTGCCAATAATGGTCCAGCGCTAGAGCCCAAACAGGCAGAACAGCCTACAAAGTCTCTTTCACAAGACACTTTTCTCTGACATCCAACTTGTTGATCCACCAAAATTCACACAGGAGAGCAGCCACACCCTAAAAATGGGTGTCAAGGCCTCCAGCCACAGCTCTGACACTGTCCACTGCCTGCACTCTTATTATGGGCCACAAGTCCAGGTGTAGCAGAAATTGAGCCAAGACTTCAAGCTGCTCCGGCACCAGCATCTCCACGTGCAAATTCACCCTCACTGGCACCTGGAATAAGAGTGGCTCATTTCCATCCAGCCTCCTCAAGCACCAGGTGCCATCTATGCACAGGGACTTCACAAGGAAGCCAGCCTCCACCTGACACACAACCACAGCATTGAGAGGCTCCAAGCCCAGGAAAGCCTCTGATAAGGCTGCACCTTGACCCAACACCAACTAATCCAAGGCAAGAGAAACTTGGGAGTCCACTGGCCTTGTCCTACCTCTGCATCCATGAGGATGAGGCCTGCACATGTCCTGAGTTAGGTGGTCACTGTGTCCACAGCATTATCTCCTGGCATGCACAGCACTAGGGCAGAGCCATTCAGTGTGCAGCCAAGGCTTACGGTCCAGCCAATGTGGTCAATGCTGCAGGCTAGAGAGAGCCCTCACAGACATTCTCAGTGAGAGGAGCTTCCGTATGCACTGCTCCCTTCCTGAATGCGAAGGACCAGCCCTCTTAAAGGTCTTCCATCCAATGCTAGAAGACATGGCCCAGTATATTGAGCATGATCATAGGTACCCAGAAAGAGAGCAGATATGCCACAGGGGAAGATATGCCAACAGAGAAATGGAGACCTCTCCATACTCAGAGACTTCTAGGTAGTAATCATGGCACCTTTAATTGGCAAATTCAGGGCCAAGATCTGCCAGAGATCTTGTCGGTCTGGGCTGAGAACTGATGTTGCAAGCTGGGCTTTCCCCAGCGTGTGCTGAGGGTTAGGGGAGGGGACTGGGATGTACACTGGGAGTTAAACCCTGGTATAAAGGTAGCTCCTACTGCCAAATTGCCTCTTTTCACCCCGTGTGCCCCGCTGTTCTTCCTTTGGGAAGAACAGAGAAATGGAGGACTTTGTGTATGCCCTGGGACCAACCACTACTCTTGCAACATTAAGAGCAGTTAGAAAATAATGTTTTGTTCCCAGCAGTGGTTCTCTCAAACTTTCACAGGCATAAAATTCCATCCCTGGAGACTGTGATTTAATAGATGAGGAACAGAGCCCAGAGAGCAGCTAATTTTTTTTTTTTTTTTTTTTTTTTTTAAGACAAAGTCTCTCTCACCCAGGTTGCAGTGCAGTGGTGCAATCTCGGCTCATTGCAACTTCCGCCTCTTGAGTCCAAGCAATTCTCCTGCCTCAGCCTCCCAAGTAGCTAGGACTACAGGCGCATGCCACCACACCGGGCTAATATTTGTAATTTTAGTAGAGACGGGATTTCACCATATTGGTCAGGCTGATCTTGAACTCCCGATCTCAGGTGATTGACTTGCCTTGGCCTCCTGAAGTGCTGGGACTGCAGGCGTGAGCCACCATGCCCGGTGGGAGTAGCTACGTTTTTAAAAGATACTCAGCCAGGCCCTACCTCTAGGTGGAAATATCTATGCTAGGAACTGAGAAGCTGAGAATGGGGTGGGCTGAGGCTTGAAGCTTTCACAACACTAAAAAAATTGATGAAATGGTGGAAAGTTGGGTCATGAGAGCAGGAAACAGAAGGGTCAGATCTGGCTTCTGGGCTCTAAAAAAGCTTTGCAACCTTCAAAGCACTGGGAGACCTCAAGGTAGTAATCATGGCACCTTTAATTGGCAAACTCGGGGCCAAGATCTGGCTGTCCGTCTGGGCTGAGAACTGGTGTTGCAAGCTGGGCTTTCCCCGGGCTGTGCTGAGGGTTAGGGAAGGGGACTGGGATGTACACTGGGAATTAAAACCTGGTACAAAGGTAGCTCCTACTACCAAGGTGTCTCTTCCAAACCCGTGTGCCCCTGTGATAAGGTGGCACACAAGTCAACCTGCCCCAGAAAAGCTCAGAGAGGGCAGACCTTGGTGGGGTCGGATTAGAGAAGAGGTTGGAATGAATCAGTTCATTACTTTACTTGGCACCTGAACAATGTCTTTTCTCCAAAACTTCTACCTCCTTTCAGGTGGTAAATCGGGTTTCTTCCTCCCTGGGTAGGCCAGAGAAGGCTGAGCTGGGTGACAGGCCAGAGTGCACAGGCCAAAGAGGTCACAGGCCCTTGCTCCCCTCGGGCAGGTGTTGTCCTGACCAGAAACAGGGCAGGAGCTGCCCATGGCTGGACTCTGCCCACAGAGGAATTAGTGGTAGATGGATAATGGAGTAGTGAGGTGATGGGATTCCATGCAGAGCTTGGGAATACAGATGGGAATGGTTGCTGCTGGCTACAAATCTAACACCAGGTGTTCCTGGCCTAGCCCCTTCTACCCATGATGGTACATACTTAAAAGACAGTAAAGATGGCTCATACCTAAAGACAGGAAAGATGCAAGGCCTGTTTTGACAGAGACATGGGTTCAAGAAATACCTCCCTTTCTTCTTTGCTGTACTTTAAGGTAAACGTCAGAAACACTAAAAGCAAGCCATGCTGAATGGCAAGTGTTGCTTGGACAGGAGCTGATGAGATGAGTGGCCGGGCCACAGGAAGTTGGGAGTTCTGGCTCCAGCCCAACTCCCAACAACTGCGATTTTATGGGAGCCTCGGTGGACTTGCCAAGTCTTTGGATTTTCATGAGATGCCAGAAACCTGGATTTTGGTGCAAAATAATCTTTTAAATCTTCACCATTAATTTATATCACTTAAAAACACTGCCTGGGCCCAAATCAATACAGCAACTGCAGGCCAGATCCAGTATGGGGCCACTGGTTTTTAGCTTGTGCAGTAAAAAGACAATGGAGGCCAGTGCGATAGCTCACGCCTGTGATCCCAGCACTTTGGGAGGCCAAAGTGGGCAAATTGCTTGAACCCAGGGGTTTGAGACCAGCCTGAGCAACACAGTGGGAACCCCATCTCTGCAAAAACATTTAAAAATTAGCTGGGCATAGTGTTGCTCACCTGTAGTACCAGCCATCTGGGACACCAGGGCAGGAGGATTCCTTGAGCCCAGCAGGTCTAGGCTACAGTGAGCCCAGTTCATGCCACTGCATTCCAGCCTGGGTGATGGAGCAAGACGCTGTCTTAAAAATAAATAAACAGCCAGGCACAGTGGCTCACGCCTGTAATCCCAGCACTTTGGGAGGCCGAGGCAGGTGGATCACAAGGTCAATAGATCGAGACCATCCTGGCCAACATGGTGAAACCCCATCTCTACTAAAAAAAAAAAAAAAAAAAAAAACAAAAAAAAAAAAACAGCTGGGTGTGGTGGTGCCTGCCTGTAGTCCCAGCTACTTGGGAGGCTGAGGCAGGAGCATTGCTTGAACCCGGGAGGTGGAGGTTGTAGTGAGCCAAGCTCAAGCCACTGCAGCCTGGCACCTGGTGACAGAGCAAGACTCTGTCTTTAAATAAATAAATAAATAAATAAAATAAACAAACAATGGGTATTGTGTTCTAGGAGGGTCAAAGAGTAAGAAAAGCCCAGGCGAGTTGGCTCACTCCTGTATTCACAACACTTTGGGAGGCTGAGGCCGGTGGATCACCTGAGGTCAGGAGTTTGAGACCAGCCTGACCAACATGGTAAAACCCCGTCTCTACTAAAAATACAAAAAAATTACCTGGGCATAGTGGCAGGCACCTGTAATCCTAGCTACTCGGGAGGCTGAGGCAGGGAGAATCACTTGAACCCAGGAGGAGGAGGTTTCAGTGAGATCGCACCATTGCACTTCAGCCTGGGCAACAAGAGTGAAACTTCATCTCAAAAAATTAAAAAAGAAAAAAAAAAGACAATAGGTAAAACAAGGTTCTTCTCTATCTCAATCCTGTTAGCATCTCTGGGCTGAGAAACAGCTTTTGCTGTTTCACCCCAGAGCCAGCTCTTGCCGGGGATTCTAGGACCTCCCTGCAGGCTGCTGCAGAGATTCAGGCCCCTGAGCCCATCTCAGGCCTCCCTCAATGTCTAGATCACACCTGGTCACCCACACTCCTGGAATATCTCTGGGTATAACTGGAAGCCCACAGGCAGGTCCAGATCCCCATGGCCAGGGGTCAGGGTCACAGACAGCCCCTCAGGGCGCCGGCCCCTGCGCCCACCGCCCCCAGGCCGATGGACCCGCTGGTGCTTGGCCATGCCTGTCTTCAGGCTGAAGCAACGGCCACACTGCGGGCAGCTGCAGGGTTTCTCCCCTGTGTGGATGCGCAGGTGCGAAATCAGCGCTGTGCGGCGCAGGAAGGCCCGGCCACACTCGGGACAGCGGTGGGGCCGCTCCCCACGATGGATGGCCCGGTGTTTGCTCAGGGAGGAAGCGTGGCTGAAGCCCTTGCCGCAGTCCGCGCAGTAGAAGGGCTTCTCGCCCCTGTGGCTGTAGACGTGCTCCACCAGCGTGGAGCGCCAGGCGAAGCTCTTCCCGCACACGTAGCAGCCATGACGCTGGTCCGCTCGTGGGACAGGGGGGTGGGCAAAGAAACGGGGGTGACTCCGGCGCCGCGCCTTGGATGGCTGCTCCAACCCGCCAAAGGGGCCTTGGGGAGCCTTCAGCCCAGGAGGCCTTGTGGCCACAGGGAGGGGTTTCTCCAGAGCTCCCGTCCCTTCCCTTTGTCTTTCCTCTTCCTTGTTTCTGGAATCTGCTGGGAGATAAGGAGAGGAGAGTTCAGCCTCGGCTCATCCTGGTCCTTGAATCCCACACCCCGTGTGGACAGGGACAGGCCTACTGGATCCCCGGCTGCCCCTGGGACCCAGTACAGGCAGGAGAGCAAGGAGTGACACTTGTTCCTCAGCTACAGAGCCAGACAGAGGCGGAAGGGAGGAAACAGTCCATTCCGCCTCGGGCCTGGGGAAATATCACTGTGGGGAACATCTGGGCCTGATCCGGAAGGAGGAGCAGACACCTGGGGATATTCCAGGCAACAGGAACAGTACCAAAAAAGGCAGAATCAGGCAGGCATGGCCAAGTTCAGTGGGGCTGGACAATCTGCAAAGGCTGAGGCAAGAACTGAAGGAAGGAAATGAGGGGGCTGGATGCACCTGCGTGCTGGAAGACGGTGGGGATGGGTCGTGATGTGGAGGCAGAGTCAACAGAGCTTAGATGCTGGGCGCAGTGGCTCAAGCCTGGAATCCCAAGGCTTTGGGAGGCCGAGATGGAGGATTGCTAGAGTTCAAGACCAGCCTGGGCAACACAGCAAAACCTCTGCCCCTTAAAAAAAAATTTTTTTTTATTAAAAGGAGAAAAAAAAACAGACAGGCGTGGTGGTGGCTGCCTTTACAGTCTTAGCTACTCTGGAGGCCCACGCAGCAGGATTGCTTGAGCCCAGGAGTTCGAGGCTGCAGTGAGCTATGATGGCGCCACTGCACTCAGCCTCGGCAACAGAGACCCTGTCTCTGAAACAAAAACACCAAAAAAGAAAAAAAAAAAAAAAAGCCCCCAGAGTGTAGTGACTAGTGACCACCCAGAGGTGAGGACGCAGAAGCAGGTATGGCAGGGCCAGAGCCCCCATCGCAGCCCTTTTCTAGGGGGCAGCCAGGAGCCAGGCAGGGGCAAAGCCTCCTGGCTGCAGTTGAGAAGGCAGTTCAGAGACCAAACTGCTAAACAGGTAGCTGGAGTTGGCAGAGGACACCAGGATAGGTCAGGAACAGAGAAGTCCCCACGGGACTGAGCACCCATACTCCACCTGGGTCCGCTTCTGTCGGATGCTTAGCCACCTCCGGATCCTGGGCAGCAGGACCCCACAGTTCGGCCTCCTCCTCCACCCAAGAGATGAAGGCCGGCTTGCTGCCTCCGACTCCTGGGGGAGAAGAACGCATATCCCACGCTGCGGGGAAGCCGCATGCCCGGCCGCGGTGCCCCCCACTCCCCGCGCAGCTCCCTGAGGCGCGGCAGGGCTTGTGGGGGCGCAAGGCCAAGGCGAGCAGGTGGGACTCTCACCGAGCACGCCCAGGTGGCTGTAGGTTTCCCGCATCACGTCTCGGTACAGGGCCCTCTGCACGGGGCGCAGACAGCCCCACTCCTCCCGGGAGAAGTACACGGCCACGTCCCCGAAGCTCACGGCCCCAGACTTCCTGCACTCGGGCCCGGCCCTGTTTGGGTCCCAGGAAGGGAGCGTGGCCAGAGGCGGCGCCATGGGGACTGTCAGCGCCGGCAACGGATCGGTCGCCTTCCCTGGCCGCGCCTAGGCCTGCGTAACCTCCCGCGTCCGAGAACGCCTCCTCGGCCCGGGCTCAAGGGAAGGAGAGAAGTCACTACAGTCCCCGCTAGAGGGGATGGAAACTAAGGTTCGATGGCTGCGAGTCCATAATCAGAATTGGATGATGTCTTCAAAAAACGGCGGCAGCAGGACCGCTCGACCTTTGCCCCTGCGCAATTCTGCTCACGACGACGCCCTCCGCCCCCTATTTCTGGGCCGTGTTCTCTCCTTGCCCTAATCCAAAATGGCCGCGGCGGCTACAAGCACCGGCCTTAAAAACCAGCTGCGCATGCTCCGGCCCCGCCCGTTGAGGCGGTACAGCCCAGAGCTCCGCCCGGGTTTGCAGGAACAAAGGAGCGCCCCACGGAAGGGGTGTCCTCGTGAACTCACGTTAGTTTTTGTCTCTGGACATTTTTATAATCGGGCTCCAGCCCATCATTCTCTCGTTTTGTCCTCGTTATCTCAGAAACACGGCAACAGCAGTCTCTTCCCAATGTTGAGAGTAAAAAGTGTGAACCCAGAAATTCCGAGACTTATCTCAGTTAATTTAGAAAGTTTATTTCGCCAAGGTTGAGGACGCGTCAGTGACAGCCTCAGAAAGTCCTCACGACATGTGCCCAAGATGGTCGGGCAAAGCTCAGTTTTATACATTTTAGGGAGTCATGAGACATCTGTGTATGTAAGAAGTACATTGGTTCTGTCTGGAAAGGCCGGGCCTTTTGAGACAGGATTATGCTCTTGTTGCCCAGGCTATAGTGCAATGGCATGATCTCAGCTCACTGCAACATCCACCTTCCAGGTTCAAGCGATTCTTCTGCCTCAGCCTCCTGAGTAGCTGTGACTACAGGCGTGCACCATAATGCACCCGGCTAATTTTGTATTTTTAGTAGAGATGGGGTTTCACTATGTTGGTCAGGCTGGTCTCGAACTCCTGAAATCAGGTGATCCACCCACCTCGGCCTCCCAGAGTGCTGGGATTATAGGCTTGTGTCACTGCACTTGGCCAAGAACGATCAATTTTTTTTTTTTTTTTTTTTTTTTTTTTTTGAGACGGCGTTTTTGCTCTTGTTACCCAGGTTGGAGTGCAATGGCATGATCTCGGCTCACCGCAACCTCCGCCTCCTGGGTTCAAGCAATTCTCCTGCCTCAGCCTCCTGAGTAGCTGGGATTACAGGCACGCACCACCATGCCCAGCTAATGTTTTGTATTTTTAGTAGAGACTGGGTTTCACCATGTTGACCAGGATGGTCTCGATCTCTTGACCTCGTCATCCACCCGCCTCGGCCTCCCAAAGTGCTGGGATTACAAGCTTGAGCCACCGCGCCTGGCCAAGAACGATCAATTTTAAAGGAAATGACAGGACGAAGAAAACCTGGCTAGGGTGGTAAATTTTCAAGGAGAGTCACTAGGGAGATATACGGGAGGGGGCATCAGACATGTGGAAGATATGGATTACTTTGTTAAGTATGTCTATTCTGGTCCCTTGTGGCCTCTAAGGGCTATTTTCTCACGCTGGGGAGAGGAAGCAACAAGTCTGGGAGAGATACAAGGATTCGGTGTTGCCCAGTGAGTGTGGTCTCAGCCCTAGGTCTCCCAGGCCTCTGAGGGACACAAGAGAAAACTGAAAATCTCCCTTAAAAGCAATGACATTTTGTCTCTTGCAGTGCCCACCCCTTGGCATGGTACCTGTCACCACAGGCTAGAAGAGCTCTGGGAGATGCTGGAAGCTCCCTTAGGGATCTGGACCCTCCTAGGAAGGAACCAGGGGCAGAGTTTTCACTCTTGGAGGTCAGCCTCTGAGGCCCATGTCACCAGGCCAGTGGATCCACTGATGGGCCTCTAGGTCAAGCATTGTCCACAGTGGGTCCAGGCGGAGGAGCACAGGCTGGCTGGGCAGCAGGAAGCAGGGGCGGGCCTTGCTGTGGGAGAAGTGGGTGCTGTACCAGCTGTGGGCAAAGGGTCACTCCCTAGGGCCTGGCTAAAGGTACTGGCAAAGTATGGCTGCACTGGGGACAGGAGTGAGGTGCTGGGTGAGTGCCAGATGTTGAGGCCAGGCAGAGACTGCAGGTTTGGGGAAGGCCTGGCTACAGGGAGCCTTGGTCGGAAGCTCAGAGACCAGGGTAGTGTTTCTGATGCCAAGGGCTTATGACAACTCCCAAACAGACTCCTGCTGGTCCCTTCCAAATGTGTCATGTTTCTGAGTGGCCACTGGGAAACTGCTGATTCAAAACTTACCTCTGGCCCTGTCAACTCCCCAAGGCCTGCTCATATTCAGGGGACAGAATCAACCTTCACAACAGCAGCATTCAGATGGGTACCCCTGGGAGCCACCCCCACCCCCCACCCCCAGACCATGCTAGCCAACTGAGGGGGTTACCAGGCAGTGACATTCCCACACATGTCAAGGCCAACCAGAGGAGCCACCATCAACCACAGAGGCAGCTGTTCCAGGGCCTAGGGGCCTGGAGACAGAAAGGTGAACTTTCTTCATCCTAAACTTGAATTCACACCCTGCCACTAAACCAGACGATTCATAGTATGGCCTGATTGTCCCACCGGATGTCTCCAATCAAATTAAGTGCCGAGCACAATGGCTTACCCCTGTAATCCTAGCACTTTGGGAGGCAAAGGAGGGTGGATCACTTGAGATCAGGAGTTCAAGACTAGCCTCACCTACATGGTGAAACCCCGTCCCTACTAAAAATACAAAAACTAGCCAGGTGTGGTGGTGCACGCCTGTAATCCTAGCTACTCAGGAGGCTGAGGCAGGAGAATCACTTGAATTTGGGAGGCAAGATTGCACCTGAGCCGAGATTGCACTACTGCACCCCAACCTGGGTGACAGAATGAGACTCTATCTTTTTTTAAAAAAAGCAAAGAAACCCTGTCTTGGCCAGGTGTGGAGACTCACACCTGTAATCCTAGCACTTGTGAGGTTGAGGCAGCTGGGTCACTTGAAGTCAGGAGTTTGTGTCCAGCCTGGCCAACATAGTGAAACCTCGTCTCTACTAAAAAAAAAAAATACAAAAAATTAGGTGGTGGGTGCCTGTAATCCCAGCTATGCAGGAGGCTGAGGTAGGAGAATCACTTGAACCTGGGAGGTGGAGGCTGCAGTGAGCCAAGATCATGCCAGTGCGCTCCAGCCTGGACAACAGAGCGAGACTCCGTCTCAAAAAAAACCAAAATTGAATTAAGTGAGAAAGAGAAGGTCAAGATCCAAGGCTCCAGGGGGTGTCATAAATTCAGGTCAGCAAAAATAAGTCACACTAGGATCAAGGAACATATAAAGAGCGTTTCTTCCTCAACAAAACATTCGTCTTCCACCTGGGACTCAGGAGTCATCTCCTCTTTTTCCCTTTCTGCTTTTCTCTCAGGCTCCTCCTTCCTGGGGATTCTGAGCAGTTTGGACTTCACAGCTGGGCCTCCTCCTACTCCCAGGAGATGAGGGCTGGTTTGGAGTCATGGAACCCTGGGGAAGAACACTGATGACTCAGGAAACATATTAAAAGACAGATACATATCCGAAGACTACATTCCTTTCGTGAAAATGTATTGGCTCCCTCTTGTGTGCCAAGCACTATTCTAAACGTTCTGGGTGGTGAAGACATTGGTGAGCCAAGATAAAGTCCTTGCAGTAAGTTTACATAAGCTAGGGGAGAAAGATACCAGGTATGAATTCGGCTGACAAAAGTCTGGGGAAGACCTTCTGGGCAGATTGTCTCCAGGACAAAAACATAGAGGCTCAGTTCTGAGGCTTCCAGCATGGGATAGAGGGGCTCCTGGAGGAATTTTGTGGAGATAGTATTGAAGGGCATTGACAGATGAATTAAATGTGCAAGACTACCTAGGACAGAATCGCTAGAGCAAAGGCTCATTAAGATAGAGGCATGGGCTGGGTACGGTGGTTCACACCTGTAATCCCAGCACTTTGGGAGGCCAAGGCAGGCGGATCACGAGGTCAAGAGAACAAAACCATCCTGGCCAACATGGTGAAACCCCATCTCTACTAAAAATACAGAAATTATCTGCGTGTGGTGGTGCACGTCTGTAGTCCCAGCTACTCGGGAGGCTGAAGTGGGAGAATAGTTTGAACCCAGGAGGCAAAGGTTGCAGTGACCCAAGATTGTGCCACTGTACTCCAGCCTGGCGACAGAGTGAGACTCCGTCTCAAAAACAAAACAAAACAGAACAATAGAGGCATGTCAGGCCAGGCAGTGGCTCATGCCTGTAATCTCAGCACTTTGCTTAGTGTCAGAGGAAGACCAAAACTGCTTCCAGAAAGAAACAGGCATGTCCAGAGAACAAAGATTCCATCTGTTTAGCTGGAGCTAAGTGTGATCACTTGCCTGTAGGGAAAGATGGAGTTTGACTTTGAGAAGGTTGGTGTGCCATGAGCCTGAAAGACCATAAGGGGACAGGCTATGAACACTTTTTTGAGACAGGGTCTTACTCTGTAGCCCAGGCTGGAGTGTAGTGGTGTGATCTGGGCTCACTGCAGCCTCAACCTCCTGGACTCAAGCGATTCTCCCACCTCAACCTCCCAAGTAGCTGGGACCACAGGCACTTGCCACCATGCTCAGCTAATTGTTGTAGAGATGGGGTTTCGCCATTTTGCCCAGACTGCTCTCAAACTTCTGGGGCTCAAGCGATCTGTCCCCGTTGGGTTCCCAAAGTGCTGGGATTACAGGCATGAGCCACCAAGCCCAGCAGCCTACATTTTAAAAAGATACTGAGCCAGGTACAGTGGTTCACACCTACAGTCTCAGCACTTTGGGAGGCTGAGATGGGAGGATCACTCAAGGCCAGGAGTTTTAGACCAGCCTGGGATCCTGAGACAGTTTCAAAAAATAAAAAATAAAAATCCACAACAACAAAAGAAAGACCACGCTGGGTGACTTACTGAGACCCTTTCTCTCTAAAAAAAAATTGGTTAATTAAAACGTGGTACAAAATCTCATCCAGCTTTTGCACCAGGTTTAAATTCCCAGTGTACATCCCAGTCCCCTCCCCTAACCCTCAGCACAGCCCGGGGGAGGCCCTGTTTGCAACACCAGTTCTCAGCCCAGACCTACAGCCAGATCTTGGCCCTGAGTTTGCCAATTAAAGGTGCCAAGATTGTTACCTAGAGGTCTCTGAGTGCTTGGAAGTTTGTAAAGCTTATTTAGGGCCTAGAAACCAGACCTGACTCCTCTGCTTCCTGCCCTCATGACCCAACTTTCCAGCATTTCATAAAAAAAAAAATTTTT